TAGAATTTTCTTTCCTTTTCTCATGTTTTGCGCTTATTTTTTATCGTTCAGTTTTGTTCTCTCTATGTACTACCGCGGAAGAGGACCGTTAAATCTGACCGTTCGCCAACAAACAGTTGCTAAGCAGCAAGTTGTATTAGATATGCGAAGACTGGTGCTTTTTTTCATATTTTTCGCGCTTGTTTTCATCGACAGTTTGCTCTGGGGTATACTGCGCTAGAACATATGCATGGACATATATCTCAGGAGAAAAAGGTGTTTTTAAACTTAAAGCCCAACTGTTCTGTATTTTTCTCATGGCTTCAGAGTTTCACTTCTAATTTGAAATTTAGCCGTCAGTATAACGACATTTTTCCTGGGGGTTAGCACTCCCACTTGCTGCTAGACACTAACGAAACACTCCTAAGGAATATAGACTCCCTTGTTTACCATCAAAGTGAAAAAAAGGAAGAAACAAGAATGTCAGATTTCACACCAATAAAACACCCAAAATAAATGACCATGCCCACTTCTTTCTACGAAAGGTAATACGTAAACCTGCACTGACCATACAGGACTCTAGAGTAAGTAAGTAATTATTACCGTTAAGCCTGCACTGACCATGCAGGACTAGTTAAGCCTGCACTGACCATGCAGGACTAGTTAAGCCTGCACTGACCATGCAGGGATAGTTAAGCCTGCACTGACCATGCAGGACTAGTTAAGCCTGCACTGACCATGCAGGAATAGTTAAGCCTGCACTGACCATGCAGGACTAGTTAAGCCTGCACTGACCATGCAGGACTATAGTTAAGCCTGCACTGACCATGCAGGACTCTAGTTAAGCCTGCACTGACCATGCAGGACTCTAGTTAAGCCTGCACTGACCATGCAGGACTAGTTAAGCCTGCACTGACCATGCAGGACTAGTTAAGCCTGTACTGACCATGCAGGAATAGTTAAGCCTACACTGACCATGCAGGACTCTAGTTAAGCCTGCACTGACCATGCAGGAATAGTTAAGCCTGCACTGACCATGCAGGAATATAGAGTAAGTAAGTATTAAAGTTAAGTTACGGACAACAGCCAGCCTTGCTACATCAGCCGACTCTACCGCACACGTGAAGGAAGAAAAGCAGCCTTCCACTACAACTCAAGCAGACACTGCCACACATGTAAAGGAAGAAAGACAGCCTTCTTCTACAAATCAAGCAGATGCTGCCATACATGTGAAGGAAGAAAAAAGGCAGGGCTCCCTCTACAACTCCAGCAGACGTTACCGCACATGTAAAGGAAGAAACCGGCCTCAATTCTGTACAACACGAGCAGCTGCATCTCCTCATGTAAGGAAGACAGCCAACCAGCAGATGCTGCCACACCAGCAGATGCTGCCACACCAGCAGATGCTGCCACACCAGCAGATGCTGCCAGAGAGGTGAAGGGAGACTACCAGCCTTCTCCACCTTCAGCAGAAGCTGACAAACCACAGCTGAAGGGAGAGTACCAGCCTTCTCCACCTTCAGCAGAAGCTGACACGCCACAGGTGAAGGAAGAGTACCAGCCTTCTCCACCTTCAGCAGAAGCTGACACACCACAGCTGAAGGGAGAGTACCAGCCTTCCCCACCCTCATAAGCTGACATACTGCAGGTGAAGGGAGAGTACCAGCCTTCTCCACCCTCAGAAGCTGACACACCACAGGTGAAGGGAGAGTACCAGCCTTCTCCACCCACAGCAGAAGCTGACACGCCACAGGTGAAGGGAGAGTACCAGCCTTCTCCACCTTCAGCAGAAGCTGACACACCACAGCTGAAGGGAGAGTACCAGCCTTCTCCACATTCAGAAGAAGCTGAAACACCACAGGTGAAGAGAGAGTACCAGCCTTCTCCACATTCAGTAGAAGCTGACACACCACAGGTGAAGGGAGAGTACCAGCCTTCTCCACCTTCAGCAGAAGCTGACACACCACAGGTGAAGGGAGAGTACCAGCCTTCTCCACCCTCAGCAGAAGCTGACACACCACAGGTGAAGGGAGAGTACCAGTCTTCTTCATCCTCAGAAGCTGACACACTGCAGGTGAAGGAAGAGTACCAGCCTTCTCCACCCTCAGAAGCTGACACATCACAGGTGAAGGGAGAGTACCAGCCTTCTCCACCCACAGCAGAGGCTGACAAACCGCAGGTGAAGGGAGAGTACCAGCCTTCTCCACCCTCAGAAGCTGACACACCACAGGTGAAGGGAGAGTACCAGCCTTCTCCACCCTCATAAGCTGACATACAGCAGGTGAAGGGAGAGTACCAGCCTTCTCCACCCACAGCAGAAGATGACACACCACAGGTGAAGGGAGAGTACTAGCCTTCTCCACCCTCAGAAGCTGACATACAGCAGGTGAAGGGAGAGTACCAGCCTTCTCCACCCTCAGCAGAAGCTGACACACCACAGCTGAAGGTAGAGTACCAGCCTTCTCCATCCTCAGAAGCTGACACACCACAGGTGAAAGGAGTGAGTACCAGCCTTCTCCACCCCCATAAGCTGACATACAGCAGGTGAAGGGAGAGTACCAGCCTTCTCCACCCTCAGCAAAAGCTGACACACCACAGCTGAAGGGAGAGTACCAGTCTTCTCCACCCTCAGCAAAAGCTGACACACCACAGGTGAAGGGAGAGTACCAGCCTTCTCCACCTTCAGCAGAAGATGACACACCACAGCTGAAGGGAGAGTACCAGCCTTCTCCACCTTCAGCAGAAGATGACACACCACAGCTGAAGGGAGAGTACCAGCCTTCTCCATCCTGAGAAGCTGACACACCGCAGGTGAAGGGAGAGTACCAGCCTTCTCCACCCTCAGCAAAAGCTGACACACCACATGTGAAGGAAGAGTACCAGCCTTCTCCACCCTCAGCAGAAGCTGACACACAGCAGGTGAAGGAAGAGTACCAGCCTTCTCCACCCACAGCAGAAGCTGACACACAACAGGTGAAGGGAGAGTACCAGCCTTCTCCACCCTCAGTAGAAGCTGGCACACTAAAGGTGAAGGGAGAGTACCAGCCTTCTCCACCCACAGCAGAGGCTGACACACCGCAGGTGAAGGAAGAGTACCAGCCTTCTCCATTCTCACAAGCTGACATACAGCAGGTGAAGGGAGAGTACCAGTCTTCTCCACCCTCAGAAGCTGACACACCACAGGTGAAGGGAGAGTACCAGCCTTCTTCATCCTCAGAAGCTGACACATCACAGGTGAAGGGAGAGTACCAGCCTTCTCCACCCTCAGCAGAAGCTAACACACAGCAGGTGAAGGGAGAGTACTAGCCTACTAGCCTACTAAGGCAACTAGTACTTAGGAGAATCCTAGGTGTACGCTGGTTTGAGTACCAGCACCAAACTCACCACCTGTCCAACACCAAACTCAGGCAAAGGACCCAGCAGCCTCCTGCGTCCCGTTTGGCAGCTATGCATCGAGTCCCACCTGACCACTCTACGTGGACTATTTTGAACTTTAACCCCCAGTCCGCCGGCTGGAAGAGACCAAGAAGGGTTCCAAGCACCCCCACACTCAACATCCTTGCCAGGGACCTGGCACTGGGCAGCACCTCCTTAGACCAAGCACAAAGGCTCACCCAAAACAGACAGAGAAGGAGGGAACTGGTTGACCTGGTGGGCTCAACGCACTTGGTGCAAAAGGATTAAGTGAGTGAGTAAGTGAATGAGTGAGTGAGTAACCTTTTATAACCTTTCAGATTCCAGGTGGATATAGCTGGTGTGGGGGCACCACTTGTATCCCTCCCCTCAACAGCAATATGTTAAAGTTTGTGTGTTTGACTTTACAGAACAAAAGACTATCAACAGAAAATGCATACCTATTCTCACCCACCCCGCCTCCTTTAGGCCAATGGCCTGTGAGTTGTCAGCCTCATCATGAACACACAATACAGTTCTGTTCTCAACCATGTCCTTGACAGTTTGGACATTTGGCTTCACTCTATCACTTATATTGTCCTCCTCATTTGACAGAAGAGGATGGATGCAACATGTCAAATTGTTTCATGTGAGAAAAACGTATTCTCTAAAAGTGCTGAAAGTTTCCCAGATTATTTTGTTTGTTGAGGGGGACCTGGCTGTCTGTCTGTCCCCTCTGTCGGACGGTGACGGGTCTCGCCTCCTCGACTATGGTGCCGTCTGGGCAACAACAGACCTGAAGGGAGCATCGCACGCCTCAACTTCAGTCCTGCTGGCTAAACGAGACCAAATAATGAATTTCTAAATTAGGACAATTAGATTTGGGAACTATGCAGCGTATAGCCAGGTAGTTCAAAGATACAGTGGTGAAATCTCAGGGCAGACATGCCAATCAGCACCAAGCACGGTTGGAATTGTGGAATCTCACTGTGGATGGCCAATCAGCACCAAGGAAATGCAAGCTGATAGTCAATCAGAACAGACAACTGAAGACAGGTTTTTGAAACAATGCAGCTGACAGCTAATCAGAACCAACGAGACAGCAGTATCAAAGAATCTCACCGCGGATAGCCAATCAGCACCAAGGATGCAGCAGTATCACAAAATCTTACTGTGGATAGCCAATCAGCACCAAGGATATAGCAGTATCACAGAATCTCACTATGGATAGCCAATCAGCGCTAAGGACAGAGCAGTATCACAGAATCTCACTGTGGATAGGCAATCAGCACCGAGGACAAAGACAAAAGTTATAGAAGCATTTATTACCTTTCTTGTTAAAATACAGTCTTATACATTGTAGAAACTTTGAACAAAACTGTTTTACATTAAAAGCAGTGCAGCTGCATTTAACTACAAATGTATACTATGACTTGGACAGAATAAAACCATTACCTGCATTGTGATTCACAATATCAAAACTGAAGATATCTTCTTCCAATGGACGATATTACAGGTCAAACAACTGCCACCAGTGCATCCCAAATGTTAATATAATACAAACAATGCAATTAAACATATAAAATAGATGTAAAACTATTTCATTCTGTATGATGTGTTTCTGTTTCCTATTTCTTGCCTGGAAAGACGATTAGGAAAGAAACAAGATGTAAGAGAGCTGACAACTGGCCTGTAGGATGACCTCAACACTGGATCTTGTAGTCCACCTTGTAAGCCAGGACGTATACTCTCTTCTGGTTGATTCTAGAAGGTGGTAAAACATTCAATTTTGGGTGAACTTCTTTTTGCAAAGAGCAGTTGAAAAATGTCAAACGTATAATGTACATCTTCCTAAGTACAAAGAGGTATACCGGTAGCAAAGGAACAATGATACATTTTAGTACAAGTTATGGTCCTCATTTTATTAGAAATAGGGAAGGTTGTATATTGTGCTGGAAATGTGAATCTTCAAAAACAATTAAAGACTTAAATTATCCGACCGAAAGGACTAAACTTGACAAGATTCAAACATTAACAGTTAGACAATACTAGACATAGATTGTAAGCCTCAGCTATGTAATTCAGAAGCAGAATTGATCAGCACCAAACAACTTCAATCTAACTTTACTGAGAGCAGTCAGCCTACTAACCTGTACACAGTACAAGTTCTACTGCCCAGTGGCCCACATGGTGTCAGGTACTTCTCCCTGTATGGCTTACGGATTCCCCTGGTAGTCGTAGTCTTGAAGGTCTTCAGGGGACAGTGCCTGGGGAGTGAAGTCTTAGTTTAATCTCAAACAAGTGTAAACATACAAGTGAACACTGCATGTAAGAAAGACGCTTCTCTCTTGTGAGAATAAGAATTGCAGTATATTTGAGACATCCAATTTTAGAAATTGTGGAGAGTACCTTTTCTGACACCTGACCCCAGATGTGCCTTCCACACATTTACACTTGTTGAAGGGCAGGCATGTACCACCGTGTTGGCAGGGAGGTTTACAATCTTTCACAAGAGCTGAAACATAGGAAACACAGAAGATCAAAAGTCAGATGTTTCTGAGAAGTGCTCACAATCGTAAAATTCTTCACATGTTTGGTATATTTTTCTCAAGATGTATCTAGGTTAGAGAGTAAAAAATTTCCGAAAGCATCAAACCCAGACTTTGACATTTTTACACTTTACTGTAGGGGCCAAGCCTTTGTATTCAATCTACTGAAAATATACAGGTATTCTATTTCAATTTTATGCATTGCTTATTCTCCCTTCGTTAATTGTAGGCTTCCAGTAAGAATCTGGAACCACCAACATTGCAGAGAAGGCAATTATCAAAACCTGCAGAAAGGTGACATGACTACTGGGGTAAAAAGCGATTGAAGTCTAATCTACAACAAGAGGTAAATTTTGTATATACCAACCTGTCTCACACTTGCTGCCTCCATAGCCCTCCTTACACTTGCACTTGTTGGGACCCACACAGGTACCATGTTTACAGGCTGGCTTACAGATGGCAGGAGCTGTGGGACAGGGAAAACGATATGATCATAATATCTCATCAAAGGAAAATGATGCATATTTCTGTATAAGTCCAAAAACTATCTTATAACCATGCTTTTGCAAGACCATCTGAATTTAAACATTTTGGAAATGTGCTTTGAACTTTTGTCAATTCACAGAATAAAATAAACCTGTGAGGACCATTCTGAAATTATTGTCAAAGAAAGGAAAAATGTCAAGCTAAAAAGTACTAATAAGCAAATACCTGAGAACTTTTGAGACCTTAGGCACCCACTCCTTTCACTTTTCAGTACAAGAAGGTTTTAAATCAAACACATGTATGCTAAAGGCATTGACCCTCACCTACTTGACACCTGAGCCCTCGGTATCCAGGTGGGCAGATGCACACATTAACCTCGTTACACCTGCCACCATTCTCACATGCAGGTGTGCAGGTAGCTGGGGAACAACAATCATGAGCTTAATATCCGATACTTTTATTCATTAAAGGTCAATTCTACCTGTAGGTTCAGAGTGTAAAGTTTGTATTGAGATGTACATCGCATTTGCAAATAAGCTTGAAGTTCTTCTGTCAGACAAGCAGATATATTTGACGGCTAGTGTTAAATCCATTATTCACAATGCAAGTTTAAAGTATGGCTAAAAGAGAGAAGGCAAACTTTATGACTTACGATTCTCACAGTTGTCACCTTCATACCCAGAATCACACTGACACTGGTTGGGCCCGATACACCTCCCGCCATTTAGACATGGATGATCACACATGGCTAGGGAGACAAAGGAAAGGAACTCACAACATAAAGAAAGATTCTTTGTGTATGGCAGCTAGATATCACTGCTGTCAATAGTCAACTTCCTTGTCCACATCACTTACAAGTTCTTGAGACTTGAGCTTGTAAAATGAAGACAGTGTAGCTGTATATAATTGCACTACACAGAGCAAGCTTACTGTCTTGATCTACAGGTGTTTAGCTGAATGAGTGAATTATAAAGCGCAGGTTTCATTGCAACAGATATTTTGAGGAATAGGGTTGACAAGGTAAGACCTTCCTACCTTGCTGACAGCCTCTGCCGGTATAACCAGGTGGACAGGTGCACCTGTTCCACCTGAGGCAGGTGCCTCCATGTGCACACGGCGGGGAACACATGGCTGAAATAGAGAAGGGTGGATGTTAGGTTTCCTATGTATTATAAATCTTGAGATGTTCACAGCAGTTCTGTTTTTGCTGTTTTCAAAGTGACCCCTATGCCACAAATTCAAATAAGATTTATCTGGTGGCTACTTACGTGTGCATTGTGGTCCAGGATAGCCAGGAGGACACAGGCACTGGTTTGGTGCAATGCACAGACCGTTATTTTTACACCTGGGGTCACATGTTGCTGGTAAAGGGAAAAAAACAGACGTTAACAAAATGGTAAGCAGTCTGGTCTTTGTCCTTGGTGCTGATTGCTGCTTAAGTTAGACTGTTTGGTTATTCTCCACCAATCATCAGCTCCCATCTCTCTTTTTTGTGTTCATTGGATTTCAGAGCTTCTAAGCTTTTTGTTTGTAGTGCAATCTGATAGGTGAAATTGTTTTCAACTCTGTGTTCTGATTGGTAAACTTGAGCTTATCATCAGCTAGCATTCTTTGGACATGTATAGGTTAGCTACCTTTAGTTTACGTGAAGAAGTCACTGTAATGTTTCATGTTCTTGGCACTAAAACTGTTCTTTTCATATTTCTAAAAATGGCCCTTACCTTCACATCTGAACCTGGTGGCATTTGTCCTGAAGTACCCCTCCCTGCAGTCACAGTGGTAGCTCCCGGGCGTGTTCACACACAGCTGATGACACCCGCCATTCACATCTTCACACTCATCGTCATCTGGTGAAAAATACATATCAGTTTTGTAATCATAATTCTACAATTGTCATACATACAAGTCCTTCCTGCTACAAAAATATATAAAGGATTAACATTTGTTTTAATGGCAAAGCCTTCAAGGCATTGCTGGAATTTCTGTTCAACATTTCCTAAAGCATTGAAAATTACAGCCATAATCTAAACATGATAACCTGAATGTACCTAAACATTCCCATCCATTGTCAGCCAGGTGGTAGCCATCATGACAAGCACATTCCACAGCTGAGCCATCAAACGTTAGGCTACACAGCTGGTCACAGCCGCCATTCTGCACCTGGCAGGTGGTGATATCTAGTTGGAAGAAAGGAAGGAACAACACTTTTCAAGTACATAGTAACTAAATAATACAGATGTATTTGCTAAACAATGTGACACTACCTTCCACACAACGAGTTAACTCATCTGGCTTGCATACTTTACTGGCAAAGGCTTCCAATTATCAAATATCCTATCTAGTATCACAGCTGCTACGTGCTGTCCTGAACATCTCCTGGAAGGAACATCTACAAAGGACCTGCTGTATGGGGACCTACACCCCATATCACAAGCCAACTGTGAGAGGAGACTATGTTTTGCTAGGCATTTATCGAGGAGCAAGGGAGAAAGTGTCAGTGATGTTCTTCTCTGGGCACCCAAACATGGACAAGCAAGTATAGGCAGGCCATGCACAACCTACATGCATCAACTGTGTGAGGATGTGGGCTGTACTCCGGAACACCTGCCCAGTGATATGGAGGATAGGGAGGGCTCAGGAGAAAAAAGGTCATGAACATACGTGAGACTGTCACGACTAGATGATGATGATGGTAACAAGGGTAAACTTACTGAGACATGTCTTTTTGTCGGCTGCCAGTGCCTGCTGAGGACCACACTCACAGCTGAATGACCCTTTACTGTTCACGCAGTCATGGGAGCAGCCGCCGTTGTTGATCAAACACTCGTTCACATCTGCAGAAATCAGATTGAAGTTACCAACTAATAGACAGAGCAAACAATGCATTAACTTAATGATATGTATTTAGCATTGTATCTTTAACAACAATCAAGGGAAGCTATTTTAAAGTACCAAACAGCAGTTTCCAATCTATATATATTTTGGCTGACAACTGTGCTTTGACTACCAAATTACATACTATGCCAGAACCATCCCTGAGTGGAACAACCTTTCTGCATATGCAGTGAACAGTACCTCACTGGACTCCTTCAAGAGCTAGCTGTCTTGCTGTCCATAGTCCACACACTGCACCTCCCCCATCTGCATATGATGTCCTGACTAGGAAATCTGCAGACACTTGAACTTGAACTCACCTACACAGTGCTTCTTGTCGATGTGCAGCTGGTATCCAGGTTTGCAGCTGCACACGTACGAGCCCTCCGTGTTGTCACAGAACTGGTCACAACCGGCTGTACCCTGATCACACTCATCAACATCTGAAGAAGAACACAGTAGAGAGGATACTTTCCATTCTCAACTAAGTTGTTATACAGAAAAGTTTATTTATGAAGATTTACACATTTGTAAAAGGATTGACAGAATAGGTGACTATCACCTTGTCAAGATGTCAACCCTCGTAGACCAGACTGTAAGGTTTGAACCACTCACACAAGGAAAGACCAATAAGTGTGGTGGGATCTTTAATGGGCTCAAGGTGTGGCTCTCCTGAAACATGGGACCTCCGGCTTTACACCCTATGCAAGATGACGTTAATAACCGAAGCTACAGGCACTCATTTTCACCTGAGTCTGGTGAAGAAATAGGTGTGAAGTACCAAGCAAAAACAGAAAGGACCAACCTTCACAGTCATCACTGCCTGTTATCATACTGTAGCCCTCCCTGCAGCCACAGTGGAAGCTGCCAGGGGTGTTGATGCACAGCTGTGGACAGTCAGCATTGTTGTCCAGCTGGACACACTCATTCACATCTGGGCACAGACAGACATTACATAAAGATGAACAAGTTGTGTGCCTATTTTGTATGCTCTTCTCACCATTTGACAGATGCAGGCAAGGACACCAACCCACCACCTACATGCAGTATATTCCACACCTCCTGGAAGCCAACAATGGACTACTTATGGGGTTAGAAGTACCCACTCTTGCACTCTTGCCCTGCAAGTCACCTTTTCCGTGCGAGGCATATTGGAGACACCAAGACTTGCCTGGTGCACAAGTTATCATTTCTATTGCATACAAAGCAACCTTTTAAAAGTCTAAAGCAGCCAGCATACGGCTTCTAAAATATACTGTGTCCTGCCTCGGCCATCATTCATGTGAGCAATACTTTACAGGTGGCCTGGCTTATGGCTTGCCTTCTGCAATAAACAACCGGTGTTGGCGGCAACCTGAAATATTGATGGGCAACCAACTTTTAGGTTCCCAGTGGGCAACCTGAGGCTTTCAAACCCTGACTTAGTTACACCAGAACAGATCACTCACCTTGCCAGCAACAAAAGGAACTGGAAGAAACTTACCACCACCTGCATTGGAGCTGACCACTGACGACACCTATTTCAGCACCAAAGACATGAAAAATTGGTAAATTTGAAGAAATTTTATAGTGCAAAAAAGGCAGATGTTGATCTCACCTGCACAGCGGAAGCCATCACCATGGAAACCCTGGTAGCACTGACAGAAGTATGATCCCACCGTGTTGCCGCAGCGAGCGTTGATGTCACAGTCATGCTCCGACCCCGCACATTCGTCCAGGTCTGACTCAAACACATTTCATATAGATTAGAACAGTTTCTAGCCAGCCTGAATTGTCTTCCATCATCTCAATTTTTTTGACTCCGCACACTCATCCAGGTCTGACTCAAACATTTGATTGGATAGATTAGAACAGTTTTCTAGCCAGGCTGAATTGTCAAAACCAGTTAAATTCCATCTCAGCACTGTCATTTTCCCAACACTACGATTGACGTCTGACAGGATAGATGAGACTTGTTTTCTAGCCAGCCTGACTTTTCCTCCGTCATCTCAATATTTTTGGACATAATATCATATCGAGCACCAAAGGAGGTCTCAAGTTTGAAATCTAAGGACCATCATCATCATACCTTCACAGTAGGTGCCGTTCCCTGTGTAACCTTGTCTGCAGGTGCAGCTGTAGGATCCAGGTGTGTTGACACAGTCACCCGGGCAGGTGCCAGGTATGGCACACTCATCCACATCTGAAAATTCATAAATGGAAGAAGACAACATTCCAAAGCTTTAATTAGTAAGGGAAGCTACTAATACATGTACATGATTATACCAATTAGCTGCCATTTTGTGCACTGTTGCAAATACACTCATCAAAAATTCATATGAATCAAGAACTGTCCCAACAATATCCTGACTTCTTTCTGTAAATGGATGCAAGCAAACTATCCCACCTTCACATGTGCCATCTGCAAAAATCTTCTCAAACCCCTGCAGACATCTGCAGAAGTAGCTGCCCTCTGCGTTCTCACACACAGCACCTTCTCCACAGATCTCCTCGTTAACTCTACACTCATTAATGTCTAAAACCAGGGAAAAGAAAAATAGTATCATGAATTAAGTAATCACAACTTCAAGGAGTTTAATATGGATGTGAAATCAATGAAAAATCTCAACATGTTTCTTGTAGAAAGAGAAAAAGTGATTTTCTTTAAAGTACTAACCTCTACAGATTATCCCATTTCCATGGTAACCAGTTGGACAGCCACATTTGAAGGATCCTGGAAGGTTGGTGCACACTCCTACGGTGCCGCATGGGGCATCCTCAAAACATTCATCCGTATCTGGTACAGCAAACATGCAACAAGAATCTTGGTTATACCTGAAGATGTCAAGAACCTAATCCTGAGGGTATGGCTGGCTGAAACTAGAATAATTTAGTCTGGTTGCTGCATGTTCCTCTGGAAAAATTTTAAATCTTGACTCTCTGAAATGCTATTTCCTGCATTTTTTGAGACAAATGTTGCTGGTTGATTTTTGTCTGTCAAAGATGATGGATAATCGCTTACCGACACAGTACTGTCCCTGTTTCTGGTATCCCACATGACAGGTGCACTCATAGCTGCCGATGCTGTTCTCACAATCCTCGTTTTCTGTGCAGCTTCCCTCAACTGAACACTCATCCACATCTGCAGCAATAACAAATAATCTCAAGAATCAGTCCGAAGTATTGCAGGATAAGAATGAAGGAAAAAATAAAATTTCAGATGATGTACAGGAATTTTCACACAAAACATTGGAAAGACAAAAACTACTAGCAGTACATAGATGATTTTCTATCTGAATCTACCTTTAGATGAGTATATCTACCTGTGCAGTTGCCCTCAAAGAACCTGTAGCCAAGCCCACAGTCACACAGATAGGATCCAAGTGTGTTCCTACAGGTAGACACGCCTGTACAAGGCCTGATCAGGGAACACTCATCCAAATCTGGAGGAATAAAAGCAAAATAAGCAAGCTGATGTACACAAAAGGAAGGAATTAGAAACCTTAGGATTATAGCATCAGATCTATGAAATCCTTGATGAATGCTGGCATTACTTTTTTAAATAATCATGTTAGATCTACTTCAGAACCTTCAAGATTGTTAAAGAATGTGTTTTCCATCATTAGGCATGTATATGTCATGCTAATAGTATAGATCCATATCCTTTCTGTCATGTACTCTGTACAGCCCACCTTCACAGCCAGTGCTGCCGAAGTAGAAGCCAGTTGAACAGGTGCAGGTGTAGGAACCCTCTGTGTTGGTGCAGGTGGCGTTCATTCCACAGATGCTCGGGTCAACCTCACATTCATTCACATCTGTGATGGGTACAAAATAACAGGGAAAATCAAGAATTTTACTTTCAATAAAGATAAGACTGTATATACTGTTCTGTTTACTTTAATAATCCCCTTCATCAACTTGTACATTCTTCTTAAAACTTACTTAATATCCAATGTCTGGAGAATGGATGAAATCTGGAAACACTTGCCCAAGAGCTTAGACCATTGATGGGATGTTCATGGCATACTTTTGTCATTCATGGGGAATGTTATATATCTACAACATTTTGGAACTCACCAATGCAGTGTGACTTGTTGACTCTGTCAAAGCCTTCAGGACAGCCACAGTCTCCCTCAAGGTTTAGGAGGATGAGGGTGCCTGGATATACAGACATAAACAGTTAAAATTTTTAATGAACAAGGAACCATGAAGTTGTAGAATTTAAACTTTGTTCCAACACCAGAAAGAACTCCCATTGAATTTTTGTTCCATGTTGTCAACCTTCATCATATGTATGATCCACTTGCTGAGTTACAACAGTAACGTACCAGAGCACTGACAGTCCAGACCGTCTTCAGTGAACTCTAAGTCCCCGGGACAGTTACAGGACAGGCCGTCATCAGACAGCTCCAGACCGTAGTCACACCCACAGGTCACGTCATCCTCCAGGAGTATCAGGTTACCAGGACAGACACAGGACAGACCATCGGGGGAGGGGACGTAACCCTCAGGACAGGTGCAGTTTCTGCCATCTTCTACTGGTATCATACCCCATGGACATCTGGGGGAGGAAAAAAATCATCAAAAAGTTGTGAAAATGAAGGAAATGATCTTCATCTAACTGGCTGAAGAGATTATCTCCATGACAAGGCAAAGGGTAAAAGAATATGATGGCTGTACTATGAACCTTCTACCACTGCTAGAATACAACAGGTTTTATGTGATTTACAGTAATGATACAACATGTATGTGGATTTATACCTGCAGGAGTTTTCATCATCATCCTCAAAGACCAGGTTGCCTGGACACTCACACCCCAGCTTGTCATCAGTATATTCCAAACCATCAGCACACAGGCAGCTTGTTCCCTCCTCATTTGACGTCATCCCTTCTGGACAGCTGCAAACATCATCATCACCGTCCTCTTCTTTCTTCACCTGAATAAGATTGCCTGGACACTCGCACCTCTGTCCAGCTGCCGATACTACAAGACCATTCGGACAGGAACAGTTTGTGGCCCCTTCTTTGAGAGTCATTCCTTCTGGGCAGGAGCAGACCTCAATCCCGCTCTCTCCACCATGCACGGCGACAAGGTTGCCTGGACACACGCAGCGTTCACCATCTTCAGTCTTCGCAAATCCCTCTGTGCACGTACAGTTGAGCTGATCTTCCGTGTACACCATTCTCTCCGGGCATATACAAGAGTCTTTTTCACCATCTGTGTGGAGAAGTAGATTGCCTGGACACTTGCAACTTTTCTCGTCTTTCGTTAACACAAACCCTTCTTCACAGGTACACGCCAGCCTGTCCTCTGTGTAAGTCATTCTCTCTGGACAGGAACAGATTTGCCTATCTCCACTCTGTTGCAGTACCAAGTTCCCGGGACAAACGCAACTCTGGCCATCTTCCGCTTGTACAAAGCCCTCTTGACAAGCACAGCTTCTGCCGTTATTGATGAGCACCATACCTTTAGGACATGTACAGATGTCCCCAAGATGTGTTTGTGAGAGTACAAGACCTTCTGGACATGCACAAGTAGCTTCATCTTCCTCGAAGAATAAGTTGTTTGGACAAGTGCAGTTTGACTCATCGAGAGAGGGGACCATCCCTTCCGGACAACCCTCTTCAGTGCTGTTGGAAAGTGTTGTATTTTCAATGCAGAAGAATTCTCCGTTGATGAAGCTGACAGCTGCAGTGCAGGAACAGGTGCCATTTTCTGACAGGACAAGGCCGTTTGGACAGCTGCAGTTGTGTTTGATGTCCTGACAGATGCACAAGGAGCCGTCATCAGGTGCAGTGGCAAAACCAGCTGGACAGGTGCAAGTAAGCTCATCATCTGTGAGAATACAGAAGAATAGTAAAGTGACTCATGGTATGTTATAATGTAAATCGTGAAATATTTGTGTTGTTTTTATGCTTTTGCAGTGAACTCTCACTGCCGACTGACATCACACATTGAACATTTGCTCTGGTGTCCCTGGCACTACTACAGTTGTGTTGTTTCAACCATAAACTTAAAACACACAACTCATCATTCTACTGCCAAATCATACCCCCAAAAATTTGTAACTTCAACATTATCAAAACATGACTAAAGGTGGGATCCATACAGCCATGGAGGTAGAAAATTACAAGGTCTTGTGATTTTTTACCTCCATGATTCAACAAACGCAACATTGTTTGGGAATACCTGAAGGGACAAATCCAGGTGCGCATGTTGGCCTACAGGTGAGCCCATCAGGTGAGAGGTTCAGGCCAGGTGCGCAGGTGCAGTTAGCACCGTCAGGTGCAGGCACAAACCCAGGTGGACAGTCCAGCTGACAGGAGGTGCCGTTCTCAGGTGCATAGAACCCTGTTGCACAATCTTGAAAAGGAAAAAAAAACAGGCATTGCAAATGTTTAAATTTTGCCAAGGATTGCCTAATTCCGTCTGGTACGAATTTCATTTGGTTGAATGGGGGAGAAAAGATAAGGAAACATAATCTATCCATCAAAATATACAGAACAACAAAATGTTTAAAGAAAGTAAATTTTTACCTGGTTGTAGTGGTGTTTTGTCTGTGGAATATACTTCATCATCTTTATCTCTCATGTCTTCCACTTTGTTTTCCTCCATCAGATCCTAAAACAACATTACAATAGCTGCATTCTTTAACTTTGAATTATAAAAAAAGAGTACAAGAGCTAGAAAAGGAATTTGTCAGACAAATGTATTATGTTTACCTTTACATGGTTTAGCCCAACAAACTACAGTCTCTGTGTTTTATTCTTACCAAAAAAATCATTCATATATATGATGACCAGCCCCTTAAACTTGCTACATCATGTGTCTTCTACAGCACCAGTTACCATGGTGACAGCCATCTGGTCCTGGTCATTAACCTTATATGTTTGGAGAGGATTATTATTGATTAGAAACTGAGCAACATAATGTTAGATAAGTTAAACCCCTTTATTTGGTGATGCCTTCAATGTAATGATTTTATGCCCAGACCTGATCAAGACCTTCTTCCTCAGTTGTCTTCCTTATATCTTCTTCTTCAGCCTTGACCTCAGTGGCTTTGATAGCGATAGAGCGAATTTCATTGGGCTGGGCAAAGATCGCAGTGAAGGTGGTCAACAGCATGAGGAGGTGAACACAGCTAGCCATCCTAGACACTGCAGAGTACATGAAAAGAGACAGGTTAGGTAACGGCAATGAATTGTTGTATAATCATCAAATACACAAATTCAGGCATGTCATGTAATCATTATATAAACATTTGACATCTTCCAGTTTTCTACCCAGATCTAGATTGGGGACTTGTTAAAACTTTAAGTCCAGCAGTCAACGTAGCCACACAGTGCCAAGAAATGAACCAGCTGGTGCATGTTTATCCAGTATTGACAACTGATGTGTAAATGCATGCACATGAAGCCAAGGAGGTTATAGGAAAGAGCCTCCTTGAAATCTTTGTACTGCAAACTTCAAGATGCAGTAACCAGAATATCTTATACTAATATCTAGATCAAGTTAAAGCAAAATGTGACCTTGGAACTGATAAAAACTGACCTGTTCAATAGTTGAGCTCTTCTGGAGGCAAGCTTGCAAGTCAGCAAATCTTGCTTTCTCAGCTAGGGAGACCTCACTTTGGAGTTGGAGTTACCTTGTTCCTGGCCAAACCATTATTTGTTGGGGGTGATATTTTATGGAACCATGCATAGGAAGAGGCGCAATAACAATTAGATGATAGCATCATTTATAGTATTACCCATTCAACATGTATGAACAATGATAAGAAAAATCATAAGATGTGCAGAACCCAAGTATTTGCAGAAACAATAGAAGCTCACTCCTGTTTTGTCCTGCATTGGACCGTTCCAAAAGGAAAGCACTTTGTGCTAATGGGTTGAGATGACACAAGCCACATGGCCTGTGTTTACACTACTGTCTACCACTCACAGCAGGAGTGTAATTAATTGAGGGATGAAGTTCTCAACAAATGCCTGCTGTAGGACTGGGCTTAATTGGTGGGTAAACCTCTGGCCTCTTCCCTGTTCTTCCAGAGTAAATCAGAATTATACTTTCCTTGTATTTAGGCTAGGGTTTTTGTCCTCCCTACATATTCTTAGGATACTGTAATCTCCAAGCAGATCTTTTGGTGGCTGCAAAGACAGATCAAATTGGCCAGGCAGTATCCATTTGCCAGTTACCATTTGCTGCCAAAGTCGTAAAAAAAAGAGACCCCAATAAACGCTTACAAACACGTCAAAATAAGATGAAACTTAACATCTGCTTGGAGAGTAAAGATACTGCAGAAAGACTGGACCGAATATTTTCCTACAAGTGTGTTTAAAACTTTTAAATTAAACCCTGGAAAAATAAACCAATACTAGTCTCTGATATAGTTTGCCAGCCATCCAGTTTAACTGTCAGCATGTAAGACATTGGGAATTCAAGAAATTCCACAGGGTCTTGGAGCTTGAACTTGAGATAATCTTGTTTAAATTACAATGTTTAGCTTTTCTTTGTTATAACTGCTGTTATCTAGCTATTATAACAACAGGAGTGACATGGCTGGATCTCGAGCCAACTTCAGTACAAGTTCTATTATTACATAGACACATAGATCCAAATTGATAATTAATGTTGCTTTGTAGGTTTTCAAATGTGGAGAAGATTTTATTGGCAGAAACAAATCTTTAAGTGTGCTTACATTTTGTCTGTGTAGTTAATTCTTGACACAAAAATATTTAACTGACAAATATCTACAACAGCTCTTTTGTTGCAACTGTGGTTCTGACCAAAATTCTCTAATTTTTCTAAAACAATGACATGATTGTTCAAAACAACTCTAACCACCCCATTTTTGTACTCATACAACACTCAAAACATTCTTACCAACATGCCGTATTCCTGTAAAAACGTCAATTTTTGGACAACTTTAACACTTGCTAACTCTTCATCTATTTTATAAGTGAAAATGTCATGGCCAAACTTGGAATTGTTGAGAGAAGCTTGCAATAACCTGAGAAAAGATCACAACTATATTTCAGCTCGCAGAGAAGTCAATATTATGTCTAACTGTTAAGTGCACTTTTAACATTATAACTACTTTGAGGAGTTTTTGTAGCCTCTACCAGGCTTTGGACGGGAGCTGGAAAGAGTAGAAATTGGCCAAATAGAGAGAGATAACAAGTACATTTTGAGTACAGTTTGCCAGATGCCTGGTAGAGGCTAGAGTTTTTGACACATACTACATTGTAGTACATTTTGAATTGTCTGGTGAATTTGAATTTTTAATTCAACACATCTTAGCAACACATCTTTTGAGAAATATTTGTCAGCATATGTGACGGAATGCCAGAACCTTGCTTCTGGCCTCACTACGCTTATAAGAAAATATACATTTTTGACTTGTCATGTCAATATCACTCAAAAATATACAAACAGACCCTCTCAGGAAACAATAGTTTCACAACTGACATTTTGAGTATTTCTAATTTCATATAGTGCTAAATTCTTATCATTTGAAGACAGATAAAGTATTGAGAAAATCCCAACATTTACAAATACATACTATAGTCTATTAAGAGAAAATGTATGTACCAACCATTGAAATGAGAAGAGAGGTAAAACGAGAGAAGTCAATGGAAAATGTACAATGCAAAAGCATGTGAAGTCTTTTCTAAAATATATCTTTTTGTGTGCCAATATACATTTTATTCTTATCACAACAAAGTTTAACATATCTAGGTATTTTCACTAAAAAAAACACTTCTCAACCCTTTGAAGATAATGCAACTTGAAGATACAACACCTTATATACACAACACTATCCTTGGAAAGTCAAGAAGGAACACTACAAAACTGTACATTTAGTCCTGTATACACTACATTTCTCACTGGAATGTACCAAGTGTGCAGGTGCAGCTTTTCAAACACAATGCCTGTTGTCTAGTGCAACTTTACAAACACAATGTCCATTGTCTGACTAGCTCTGGCTGGCTGAAATGTTCTAGATCAAGAAGCGTTTGTCCACCAGGGTCTTGTTGGCCAGGTTCTTCCTGCCACCGCTGTCTCGTAGGTTGGAAATGAACTGGAAATGCAAAGGAAATTTTCCATTTATTTCTCAAATTTGGAGATGTACTAACATCATCATATAAGTTTCCAAAGAACTGTAATGGTTGTTTAGGCCGAGGAAAAAATGTTATGTTTCTTTTCACTCAACTAACCCTACACAACATTAATTTTCTTAGGCTTTAGGAACCAAGTAGATATTCTTGTAAATTGTACTTTGAATCCTGTTCATTAACCTATTCACAATATCCTGATTGCGCTTTTCTGAATTCTGACTTCCCAACCCCATGGCCATATACCAACTGCTCATTAAAAATACAGTATCAATACATGACACTGAACTATAAGAATAGCAATATTAATACATGGAAAAAGTCAGAAACAAAATTGCCGTTACCCGAGAAATGAGGTAGGTGATGACAGCGTCCAGGACATAGCTCTGTCCAATCAGATCCACCACGCTGAACACCACCAGTTCAAAGGTCAACAGGACCATCTCATTTCCATAGAACAGCACAGCATCGAAGGAATGGCCGTCATCTAGATTAACAGAAAGACATTCACATTGGTGAGACAGAACAACCAGATTTCTTGAACGTAAATGCCGTAGCTTGTTGTCATCGGAAGTCTCTCTACACATCTACCATCACTAGACCATACCGTTTCAGGACAAAGTCAGAATACTGGACATTGAACAGGACTATTTTTTAAAAGGTATAAAGGTGATCATGTATATCAGGGCACTCCAGCTATCATTAAACAGAGACGGTGGACTAGCAAAACAATATTTATTGGAAGTAAATTTTATTTTTCAGCCCAAAAGTTGCCCCGACGGCAGGACAGACTGCTATGGGACCGGTGAGGTGAGGTTACAGTAACTGTAATAACAGGAGGCAATGGTAAGGTGCACACTTCTAGACAAAAATTTAAGTTTGTCTAGTTTTACATGGAATGCATTTGCAGAGACAGTACTCCTGTATCCTCACCATTGTAGAAGTGTCCCTTGTCTGTGGTCTCCAGGAACTCCATATCCAGTAGCCTCTCAAGGAACATCTTATCTTTCACGATGTAGTCAATGTCTGGACGGGACTGGGGAGAAAGAACAATCCAATATCCAGTGATAAAAGCTTTCTCAAATACATTTGTACATTGTAAAAGGTTCAACTTTATTCCAACACACCATTGTACAGGGATCAAATTTTTAGCGACCACTGTCGCCTTCATCAGGATAATTAATGACCAATCACTTCACAACATTTGTACATTGTACAAACATTAGCTAATACATAATCATAATTTGTTTTTTTTGTGCAAGCAAGCAAAACGTCTTAAAACAAGAACAGTTAGGCAGTAAAAGAAAGGAAAAGGGTGTGGAATCTTACATGGTCGATGAAGGCAGCCAGGTATTTGTTGAGTTTCTTGTAGGCATCCACCTGTTGGTTAATGTCCACCCCTGTACTGGTGGTGTTTCCTCCTCCAGCTGGGGGTCAGAGGTCATTGTTTAGTACATGTAGACAACGGTAGATGGATCAGTTCTATAGATATACAGTTGAAGGAAAAAGATAAGACTTTTCACAAGTTGATTTTACCTCTTTGTCTGTTTTGACCCCTGGCTGCTGCAGCTTGTTGCTGTTAGACAAATGAGTGGTAAGGGTTAAAACATGTGCAGGGACAAAAGTATTTATCAGTATTTTATAAAACATCACCTCAATGAATTGGGAAAAATTGATGAAATATAATGTCACAGTCTTTGACGGGTTCTGTATTACAAAATAGCTTACTCGTACTTTACCAAAACTAAGGCATATTTGTTTTACCTGCAGGGGCCTGATAATACTGTCATACTGGTCCCTGAGCTTGTGTGGAAGGGACATCTCAAAGGTCTGATTATCTGTGTTGGGGAGCAGGCCACGCTGGCCACATCTGTTCTCCTGGGGGGGAGGGCAGACAAAATTTGCAGTAAGTACATTTTCTATAGTATCATCAGCCTAGAAACCTAGTCAAACCTGCCCAGGAACACCAGACATGGGATCAATACAGTCTGGTCTACAGAGGACAGGTGGGCATTATAGACAGAATTCTTAATGTGTCAATTAATATTGGAAAAATTATTGCAGGGTCACCAACAAAAAGTGGTTACATTTTCAATACAGTTCTCATGTACAGGTTTGACTATACTTTGTACATTATCTTGTCTACACTGTGCATAGTACACTTATCTGTCATACCCATTAGTAATAAATAATTCAAGAAAATATTTAGACAAGTTGACAAGTGGCTTTTCCGTCTCACCTCTTCTCTGACTATCATCTCATACATCTCCTGTATGCCAGTGTCGGCCTGACCGTGGACGGAGCGCCCGTGGATGTAGTACCCAAAGTGGGTGTTAGCCATGATGAACACACTTACCTGGACATGGAGAACACAAGTTAGCAAAGTCTATACAAAACCACTTTTCTACTAGCAAAAAACACGCAGCTGTACCAGGGCTCCAGGCAGCACTCGTTTTTCTTGAACTTGTGGTGTGTGATGGAAAAATTTTTAAACCCGTCAACCATGATGATGGATACAGTTAACAAAAATGGTGGGTAAAAAAATCTAAAAACATCCAAAGGACACTAACAACCACTCTCAATCCCATGTTTAGCCTCTCAAAATGTGGAAAATTGCATCTTTAAAGGCTTGAAAATCCAAAATTTGCCCCTGGACCCTCCTAGATTGGGAGCACTCTCTCTTCAATCCTAGATATAGGCTGACATTAAAAAATTTTGAGCTGACTAAAGCCCTGCCAAAGGGCAAGAAAAATTCAGCCCAGTTAACAAGGTGACAGATTCTGCTGCAAAAGCTTCCGGTGAGCTTAATCATTGTGTGTTAAGTTTTAATAACATAGTAAAAAATATGAGAATCCAGAGACACTTACATTTGCCATGGAGCAGAGGTCCACAAACTGTCCCAGCTTGTCCTCAACAAAACGCTCGTAGAAGAAGGTGAAGAAAAGCCACTGTGGAAGAAAAAGAGAGAACATGATATGCCTGTGCCCATCATAGGGATGTCACTAACCAGAGCTAGGTTCTTATTTTCACCTGAGTGGAGTGAGGAAAGTTGTGTAAAGTGCCTTTCCCCAGGGCACATGGTGACATGGCAGCCTTGAAACCCGAGGCCTCTTGGTTCTGAGCCGAACACTGCCGTTATGCCACACAACCCCACAGCTTGTCTCTGACTAAGTTGTAACACTATTGATACATCAATGGAAAAAAACCTCAGGCATTTCAGTCCTTACCTGTACGATAGCCACCACCAGGTAGACAGTGGACATCATGCCGAACCTGAGCAGCTTACTGTACCCTCCCACGTACTGCTCACTGTCGATCACCAGGTACGCTCGCGGGTCGGTCGTCGTCAGGTTCTCAAACCCAACCACCTGGTGCAAGAGATGACATTTCTTAGTTGTAGAGTTTAAGCTTAGGCCTAGGAAAAAATATCTCTTCATCAGGACTAAGCTTAAACTCTACAACTACAGTCGCTAGATGAGCTTTTGTTCGAAGATCACATTTCTGTTATGCCATAATAGTATCATACACATGCACATGAAATACAAAACGTACATTGTACAGACAGCAGCTGGGAACATGGTCAACACATAGTGAACCTGACAGGTACAAAAGGAACTGCCTATTACAAACGTATGAACAAACAGCCTATGAACTACCCTGGCATTCGGCTGGGCATTGGTTAGGAAATGTGACTGTAGTATCAGCTTACATTCATGAAGAGCAGCACAGCAAACAGCTGGAAGACGGTGTTACTTTTCCTGGTGGTCTGCAATACAGTACAAAGTCAACCAGTCAATTTCATATACTACCCTGGGTACCCAGACAATCATTTAACAAGGCTGAAGTCCGAACATAATTCCTGGTCTCAGTGAAAACGTACAAAAGATTTATCAAAATGATAACAAAACTATCATTTGTAACAGAAGTTGTTGGTAGCAATTTTCACCTTGTTTAAAGATTTTTGCCAGGTTTACATAACTAATTTACATGTACATGGTGTATTTAAAATACAAAAGACATATAGAAACCACTGATCAATGTAAAAGCACACCTGGATCTCATTCCACTCGTTGGCCACAAAGTACGTTCTCCACATGCTGACGGACTGTGTCTTCCCGTTCCCACCTTCCACGTCCGCAGACTTCCCACGCGGCCGCTCCCAGTCGATGAAAAAGATGTCGATGGTCATTTGGGTGAAGAGAAAGTGCATCATCTCCAGACACTGTGGTAACCGAAAAACAGATCAGCCACAGTTTAGCCTCAAGTGCCAAACCTCTGAACATAAAAGAACCGAACACACTTATTGAGAAGAGTAGGGGTGACCTGGTGTGCTTGACAACAAAACACAAGCTGTAACAAGATACCATGTTGCACTTGTAGCTACTTGAAAAAACAATATGCATCATGTCAGTTGAGGATGGCTTTATTACCTTGAGGCCACATGCCACAGACAGGTAGATGATGAAAGTTTGCTCCTGTGCAGGTGTGGGAAGCAGCAAGTACACCTGGTCTTGTCTCTGCGTAGGAAGAAGGAAAAACTTATATATAGATGACATTCAATCAATAACGTCTTTGTCCAGGGCTAAAACAAAGCTAATAAATTCCAGTCATGGAAGATGAAATACAAAATTTTCATGCCATATTTTCAACACCAGAGAAAGAAATTGCTAATCAATATGGATCTCAGCCATTCAAGATTTAAGACCATTGAACAATTTTATTTATCACTTTTACCTTAAAGAACAACAGCCAGGAGAGTGCAGCTCCCATGGCTACAAGGAAGAAGGCATTTCCCAGGGGTCCGAACATGAACAGGAAGAACTTCAGGAAGGACTGCAAGTAAAACACAGAAAATTCACATCAGCATTCCTTACTTAAGCTTTCTTCTGACACTGACATATCATGACATTTCATATTAAGGATTCCTGTGTGATTCTAGACCGCGAAAGTAGATGGTTTGAACGAGGCGTCAAGGAAGCTGTGCACATCGGGTCCCGCTCCCCGTCCCTCAACCGTGACCAAGGACGCCACAGGCTCCCACCAGTCTACAACTCCCTCGTCCAGTCACGTGACCTGGGTGACCTTTGACACCTAGGTCACGTGACCCCTCTTATGAGCTGAAGAAAGATGGCGGATGCCACCTGAAAGCTTCTCATAGCACAATTTCATCGTGAGTATCAGTTTAATTCCTTCTCCAAATGGATTCCTGTGTAATTTCAAAAGTGAAAATCCACACACACGTCCTTACCGTACAGTCCACAATCTGTGCCCCGATTCTCCGTCGCCAACTGGAGGTCGACACGAAGAGGGCCCACAGAATGGCCAGTGCACTCAGCACACCAATGGCAATCTGGAACAATATTGGGTGGAGTGAGGAAAGTCATTATAAGTGCCTCTCCCAAGAACGCAATGTCCAGCCAGGAATGCAAGGAATCCAACCTGTGACCTCTTGATCTCGTGTTCTGTCTAGCCACTTGTCCATTTGACACCACTCGAATCAACTGTGCACTTTCATATACAATATATAAAGTTAACCTTGTAAAAGTTCATCATACTTTCATAACATACCTGTACATCCTGTTCATAGGTGGCTGTGCTCATCTGATAGTTCACACTGAAGGTAACCTGAAGAGGTGAACAGATTAAAACATCAAATCGGAGTGATTCTACCTCTGCACCAAAGCAACATTAGCCCAACATGGTTCTTGACATGGTAAAATCTAAGTGTAATCACTTTCTTAATGCAAGGCCTAACTTCAGAGAAATACGAAAATAAGGCATTTTTCACAAAAAAATTGCCCTGTTTAAAATGGGTCACAGGCATAAATGGAAAAAAAAGCCTCTAGTCCTAAGGTATCGCCAAAAAAATCACATTAGCAGAATCATCCACAATGTAGACATGGCTTTAGTATATATACTGTACACTGGAAACTTACTGTGGCTTGGGCATTAGCATTGTAGTCATCCAGGGAGGCTTCAGAGTAGGTAATCCTGACCAGGGGTGGGTAGATCTCTCCTTCTCTGTTCCCTGATCGGAGCTGTACACTGAAAAATAACACATAGTATTATATGACTGTTATGACATTGGTACATTTTATATGGAAGGGTCCCGTAACAGGGCTTCAAAGCCAGTGTTGAAGTTGCAATTTATGATGTCTACCAGACCTTTACGTTTGTGGACTTTTGTTTACAGTATTGATATTTACATTTTGCAGGATACTTCTTCGAAACTTTTTTTCAAAACAGTTTTCTTTTGTGAATTTCAGATGCTTACACTAGGCAAAGACACCATCATCAATGCTACAATGTATATTGAGTTCTGATCTTTAAAAGAATGGAAAATTACCCGATGGAGAAACTGCTGGCATATCTGACCACCTGAGGGTCTCCGTCAGCTGCTAACTTTGCACCGATGGGGTCCACTAGGAAGAACCTCCGCACCAACTGCCACTTGGTACGGTCACTGCCTACGGTAAGAATTTCACACTGAGTACAACTGGTTTAGTCCGATGAGTCCAACCATGAGTACCAAGTCATAAACTGTCAACTAGGTCGTGTGACATAGCGGTAGCATCTTCGACCCGGAACCAAGAGGTCCCGGGTCCGAACCCCACCTGGTCACTGATCTTGTGAAAACATTTCCTTGCCAGTGCTACTTACCAGAGTTGTCCGTATTACTGTACTGGACATTGGTGATGAGGACAGGGATGGCATACAGGGTGCTGTCATCTGGATAACGGTAATCTGGGTCAACAGTCAAGGTTCAAAGGCCAACTCTGACCATACGGTTAGGTCAGGGAGGTACATCAGTAAAAGATTACTGATCAGTACCGTATCATTGTCTTCATACCTGATTTGTCCTGATGTTTTAATTCATTACTTCTTATAGATTAACATTCTCTAGCTTGATAAAGGATACACATGTCGTAGAACACCATCTGCTGGTAGTCTGTGTTGTTCCAGAAGTCTTGGACGTTCAGTCGGCACTGTGGAGGAAAGGGGGAGGTCGGGCTTTGTATACATACATTACAAACACTTTACAAGCTTCAGGTTTTTTACAGAAAGAGAATCTCACAAAAAGAGAATACCATGAGAAAATACATCCTAAGGGACTTACGCTCTGTGAGTAGGTTGTTCCAAAGGTGTAGGCAGCATCTAGTCTGGTGGTGCTATCCTTACACAGCTGTAGGTAAAAAAACAAAAAACACAAGCATACTAAACACTGTAGCAGAACTTCCAAATTTGAGCCTATTACTGATAACATTAGAACTTACAGTAGCACAATTCAAGCCATCCAGCGTAGAGGCTGTGATGCTATGTGTTAACACACTACATGTATACCAAGATGTCTCACCTGTAAGAGACCACCTGTAACATCTTGGATTCCCAAAAAATCCCCATTCAGACTGTAGGCTGCTACAACAAGGTCCAGCTTGGATGACTGGGAAGATAACAGAAAACAGTTAGATAATCAAGGAATTTTTTCTAACCATTATTAGATGTACTAGCAACAGAGGCACAAGAGTCCTGGATAGACTAAATATATACATATTCCATGCCTTACATTATAAACAAGCTTAGTTTATGAACAAGTAATAAGGAACTTGTCCCAAGCATTCAGAGGCAATGTGAAAACTTGTTAAACCTATCAAAATAAACATTATGGAGGGAGCAGGAATTTTACAACTCCTTGCCTATGTGTATTTAATGTTAGACAATATAAAAATTGACTAGGGAATTTTTAAAGAAATGATCAGATCCCTAAGGTTTTCTGGTACAAATTCCTGCTGCCTACAATCTTGTATTTTAACACCGTAGAAAAAAAAAGAAAACAGTGTAAGTGTACTGAACAAAGAACAGTGAGTTGCAAGGTGAAGAACATATATAAACGATTTGTGCAAATCATGGACGTGTTTTGTGTCAAATATCTGTTTTCAGGTACTTAGTATCTAAAGACAATTTTATGTGATTTTTGTAGTCTATTGCAAAGGCCACAGTAACGCTTTAAAATATTTGTAAAAAAAATAGGTCCTAAAAGTAGAAAATAAGCAATGGTGGTTAAAACTTCTTACAAATGGATTAACTTTTTTAGGCATGTAAGAAAACATTTTGTAAATTCAGTGGTGTAAGGATACGAGATATTTTTTGACAATCGAGAGCATTTTTATCAGTCTAAGCTTTTACGAGATAAAGTTCCAGGTAGAAAAGTAACATAGCATTTGAATATGAGGTAAGTTTTCAGACAAGAGAAACATCAAGGACAACTACAAACTACTGAACAAGAGAAGAAGAAGAAGATACAGTACAAATTGTCCTCCCAGTATTTTGGCCAGCTGTAAGCCAAGAGGGCAGAAAAAAGGGGAAAACTCTGTTAATGCACATGATGACAATATGATACAATGTCATGGCTTACTAGTACAATGTATAATTATGTAAATATCACATTCCTTCATATCTAGGGGTAAAAACATCATTATAAACATAAATAGATAAAGGGTCCTTACATATTGAACTTTTAGGCTCATTTCTTTTCCACAAATCTAAAAATGTTCTTCTTCAAGTTCTTCATAATAAACTATGGCTAAAAAACATAAAATGACATACATTGTATAATGCCTTTATTTGCCATGATAATGAGTTCTCCATTCAAATTACAGCAATTTATAACATTAAGTAGGAAATGTTACCATGTACAGTAGTAGTCTCAATGTTACCTGGGATGCTGCACTGAAGGTGAACTTGGTGGTGATTTCTGTGTCGGACAGGATCTCTGACACGTCATTCAGCTGGTGATCGTAATACAGCCATGGCATGGCCACTTTCCTGCAGGTCAGAAACACAGGCAAAGTCTCTTTTACATTTAGAACGATATCAAAACCACAGCAACTGCGTGTAGCTGTAGATGCATCAGTGGACTTATTAGACTCATAGAGTCAGAGCTGTGCTGAATTTCCTCACTCAACTCAGGACTCAGGTGGAAATGTACACTTGTGAGTGTCCATCCCAGTATGAGTAAATCAAATCACTTTGGTCTTATATAGCTTGTACTTGCAGTTGCTCAAGCTACAACTGGTGTATACTACACCAGTAATAGCTGTGTACTAATCAACGCACAGCCTTACAAAAGGCTTCAAAACAACATTGGAAGTGTGTTTACCAGTCTTGTACAGTGCCAACATTGTCATTATTGTCGTCACTCAGTGTCTGAAGTAGCGTACAGCCGTCCTCCTGGTTGGTTCCATCGTTTTGCCGGTTGTAGAGGCGGAGCACACACAGGTTGCCTAGCAACTGGCAGGCCGTCAGGTTACGCTGGGTAACCTGGGCACCAGCGGCAGGCTGGGAAAGGTCAAAGATCAAACACGTTCATTGAAGTACAGTCACACTCACATTCATTTAAAACTTTCAAATCCCGTGCCATCTAAACAATAAAACTGAACTGATCATCATGACTACCGAGATGTCAGAATAAAAAAATTCTTAGTTTATACATGTGAAAGTGAATAAGAAATCTAAAACATGTCCTTACCGTACAGCCCAGAGACGCTGCTAGGAGATATTCCTCAATGTAATACGATAGCTTGTTGTCACCATCCTGCGGAACAAATAATAGTTTTATACACTGTTCTACACCAGGAGCAAGTAAGTACTGTTTTACTTTACTTTCCCAAGTAATCAGTGTTAGCATGTTGTAGTACATTATCACAAGTACAGGTAGGTAGCCAAGAAAAAAGACCCAAAGAGGATCAGTAGTTGAACTGAGTATTCATCTTTTCCTATAGAATGATAGTTCTTTGTATTCTGTATACCAGTACATACATGTACATCTTATTGATGAGGATTTTAAAAGAAATGTACAAATGTATTTGAAATGTTTATTGGATTTTACACTCACCCAAGTGAAGTCCAGGTTTTGACTCACACCAATCTGTGCATCTGTGAAACAAATTCCACCATGCTGAAAAAAAGAATAAAAGTTCCCCTGCTTTATCTGTGCATTACAATCATATACAACCAACCTGTTCAGAGGCTACAGTTTTCTATCAAAAAAAAGTAAAACCACACACACAGCTTTTGTATTACATGTACCAGCACCACCAGAGTACTAGTATACTACTATATCAAGGCAAGCGTAAAGACTGTCTCACCACTTGGTTGGGATCAGGACAATTACAGGTCCCACCGCTGACATCAATAAAGCTTTGGTGGCAGCGGACACATCTACAATGTAAAACAGAGATGGCAAAGCAGTTAAAGTAACATATTTACAACACATATTAAAAAATCAAACACTGCCAATTTACATTTTACTATTGTGCAAGATATTGTTATCTTTTTATCAACATTTTCAAATGTTAAAACTATATCTTATAGTATAAGTATGGTAACATGTCTATATCTTATAGTATAAGTATGGTAACAATGATACTGCTTTCATGTAAACATAGTCCTTTACAACCAGGCAGACATTAGGATGTACATGTATAAATGTAGGCTAGTGTATTATAGTTATGTAAATGTAGCATGCATACCTGTCTCCTGCTGCATTTGGCACAGTATCCCCTTCACACGCCACACAGTCCCGCTGGCCGGTCTGGGACCCATTTGTGGTGCGCTCAACTAGGAGACAAGTCAAGACAGTCCAATCAGGCATCTATAGTTTAAATTGTCAACTTTTTGTTGGTTTGTTTGTTTGTTTGTTTGTTTGTTTGTTTTGCTCAGTTATTACTGCTGAGCAGCTACAATTCTGCACATTTTACCAGAGTGCTGGAGACTTTATCCCAATGGAGGGGTGTTGCCAAGTACAAGTACTAGTACAGTGGAACTCACAGCCACCAAGTACAGAAGGGGCATCATCACTAGATAGCTTTAAACAATGTTTAGAGTTAGATGTTCAAAGGCTAGGTGTAACAAGTGGATTGGTGTAATATAGCCAGCTTCCACCGCACCACGTGCACGCGAAGCTGGTGTGTTACGTTAAGGGATGGTTACAAGACCAAGAAGATGTGTACTAGTAATACCTGCGATTTGGCCGGCAGGACAGGGGTTACACCTGCCTGTGACAGGGTCCAGTGCCGTACCTGTACCACAGGAGACACACGCCCAGCCATCCGCTGATGTCACCTGTCAACAACAGGACACTGATCATTACACAGGACACCACTTTCTACTATCAGTCCATCCCTTTGTTTTTTTCTTTATACATGTACATTTGCCTCAGCTTTAACAAGCCTATGACAGAACTAACTTAGTATTGAGCTAGTACTAGTACATGTACACGTTATAAAGAAAGAAAGAAAGTACTCACAGTTGTAGGAGCTGTGCATGCTGCACATGTGACCTGGGAGCTGCCAATGTCTGCAGTCAGTTCAAATCCAGCTTGGCAGGCACAGGAGAAGCCTGGAAAAATGTGTTTTGGTTTGCTTTTGATCAGACCAACCTGGCATTTTTATGATCAATTCTTATTAAGAAACAAACATCATCATACAAGTGTACCTGACACAAACAGTAACACACTTGTGTAGACTGATTATGCTCCAAACAGATTGCTAAATTTAATGGGCAAAAGTAAAAGTTCTTGATTGAACCGCATACATTTTATATCACTGTAACTTTACTGTCACTGTAATAAAACAACAAACGGCGTTAGTTCGCCCCTCACCGCCGGTGCTTGTCTGGGAGTCGGCGCCAGTACAGGTGTCACAACCGAGGCTAGCAAAATTATAGAACTCTGTGGGCCTCTGGCAGGAATCGGTTGCCGCGTAATTGATGGAAAACTGGGCTGCAGCGACGTAGAAATTCAGCAAGAGAAGTAACGATAATATTTTTGTTCTCGGCGCCATTTTGGTCATTCCGGAATTTGCACTTGGTACATTCCCACTACAAGGTAGGGGGTGGCAGTCCTCGTGTTAGTTACGTTGAAGCACCTTTAGATTAAAAACACTTTATACATCATGACTAATAACTAAAGATAATATGATTCAATAAGTTCTATGCTTTATTTGCATATAATTGCATGAATAAAGAATAAACTAATGTTTACACTAAACGTTTTCTACCCTGTCTACTAAATAGACTATCCAGGGATGTATAAATCGCTTGAGGTGACTTCATCAGTGAAAACTTAGTGCCTATCAGAAATCCGATCATTTTAAGAAATATTATTCATTTTACTCATATAAAAACTTTAAAACAACTTATTCAAAGATATAGAAAATACTTTTGGTAATTTTATGCCCTTATTGCTGGATATGTGAACTTTCAATGAGATTTCGATGAATATAAAAACAGGCGTTCTCTCTTAATGGTGGGGGTAGCCCTGCGCTTGTAGCGTGCACTTTCTGGTCGCCATCTTGACGTCTGGCTGACAGAAGGTGTTGGTTGTAGGTGAGTTATCTGCATTTTGCGCGGAGTTATGACGCTTTACAACCGTTATTATGTCTTCGTCACGCAGGAGAAGGCCTTTGTGATCAAAACTGAGGAAAGGTTTGGCCGGATGCCTTTGCATTTGGCTCGAAATCTGAGCTTTCTTTGAGCCTACGAATGGGCGTTTGCAAGAAAATCACCCTTTGTTCGATGTTGCATGCAAATTTTAGCTTGTGTATCCACTGTAAATTTGGGCAAAGTTTTCAGTGGCTTTGTAAACCTCCACTATGCATTCCTTTGACCAGAACTCCGGGAGTATCTTTTGAAAGTTGTATGATCATGGTTTTGAACGTGGTTTTGTAATGGAATTCAAGGCATATCGCTTTTTTTAAATCTAGTTGAATCGCTTTTGACACCCTCGCCCCAAGCAGTGTGTACCAAAGCAGGGGTTGGTCAGGCACGCTGGAATGAGATGTTTGAACAATTTGCCGCCCTTGAAGCATTGACCTATTTTACCACCACTTCCCTGCGGCTAGGTCTAGTCAAATTTTTCCTATTGCCAAATTTTTGCATTCAGATTATACCTACCATTACCAAACAGTTGCTGGAAAAGAGATGAACTTGTCACTGTAAAACATCTTGCACACGTATCTGTTCTTCATTCTTTCATAATGACCAAAATCAAACAACTTGCAAGAGTGGTAGTTTTGCAAGTTTGTCTACAGTGAGATGTGCTCATCTGGTATTATTTAGACTTTGAGCATGGTCGGTTGCAGACTGGCTACATGCAGGCCGGATATACAAAATTATCCCATATTTATGTTGAATTAGTGAAACAATCCTTTTATCTTTACCCTGCCTGGTCCAAATAATTCCCCAATCCAGTCTGTCATGATCAAGAGTGTGGCCACGAGTTCCAATTAGTTCCGGGACTGGTACAGTAGTTTCTAAGTACATGGCCGTGGGCTGCCTTCGAGAAGTCGCCACTATACGAGGGGTGTTCAAAAAGTTCTCGGCCTCACCTAGAAAATAAAATAAAACTCCTATTCTTTGGTATAGCTGTATACTATGACGTCTTACATCACTGCACACAAAAATTCAAATTTTTGTATTCATTAATGAGCACGTGACGCCCCGTGAAAATGGGGTGGGTGAGGGCAAATCACAAAATGGCCGCAAAAGAAGCGTGTGCTGTGATCAAGTGTATCGATAAAAAGGATGTCTCCTAAGGACATCCATGAAGACATGGTCAAGACACTTGGTGATGACTCCCCTTCTTATTTAGATATAAAGAATGGGGTTACTAGCTACAAGCGCGGCAAGGAGAGCACAAAAGATGAACATAGGTCAGGATGCCACAAATCAGCACCACGGACAATCCAGTTGAGGCCATCCATCACATGGTAGCGAATGACAGATGTGAGACTGTCCAACATGTAGCAGGTTCTTTGGCCTGTGTTATGACTCAGTTCACAATGTTTTGTCGAACATCCGTGGGGATGAGACAAACTGTCTGCATGGTGGGTGCCTCGAATGTTTTTTGAACATCAGAACTTAAACAGGCTTGACATTTCAAGGAACGAATTCAGTCCAATTCATGCCGTTTTCTCAAAACATTTGTCACCCAAGATGAGCTAGGTTCACCACTTTCACCCCGAATCAAAACAACAGAGCAAACAATGGATGAAGAATTTTTTCCGGCCCCCAAAGAAGTTTTAGCGAGTTTCGTCCGTTGACAGGGGTTTTGCCTCTGTTTTCTGGGACAGTAAGGAAGTAATCATGATTGACTACATGCGAAGGGGTTAAAGCATCAATGGGGAGTACTATAAAACAGAATTACGACATTTGAGGGCAACGATCAAAGAGAAAAGGAGAGGAAAGCTCCGAGCTGGCGTGATGAAAATGCACCTGTCCACACAACACAGGGGTCAGCGACAGCAGCAAACGAATTTGGGTTTGCAGTCTAACCCCACCCTTCCAATTCACCTGACCTAGCACCCTCGGACTTCTACCTGTTTCCTAAACTCAAGTTCCACTTACGTGGTCAACGTTTTGATGGTAATGATGACGTCATCTATGCGGTATAAGCCTATCTGGGGGGTCCAGATGCAACCTTCTTCCACAAGGGGAAAATAAAGCTGGAACATCACTGGACCAAGTGCATTGCAGTTAGAGAGGACTATATTATAAAATAGTTTAAGAAAAATTTTACTGCCCTGGCGTTTTCTAGGTGAGGCCGAGAACTTTTTGAACACCCCTCGTACATGCCAACACTGAAGACATCCCTCACTCAGTGATGACACTAGAGCCATATGGTTCCTATGTGGAACTTCATTCATCCCGGCCTTGTACTAGTTTTGAAGATTTACTGGGTAATACACTGTATTATAGTTGTTATGCTTCATATATGTGCTGTAACGGTAGTTCTGTCAAGCAAATGTCAGAACTACCAAGTTTCAAGTAGGATTACTGTAGGAATCATGTGGATCCACTGTTGTCAGTGAATGATGTCTTTTAGTAATTAGTGTATGTATGCATGTTCTTACAGAGTGACTAGGTGTTTTCTCAAACTGGTGGACTGGGCTTCTCAACTCAACAGCCTTTGCGACATCCTGTCAATTCCTGACTAGCTACTTATGTCCATTTAAATGACTGGCCACCTTTCGTTTCTAGTGGACATTGCTGTCATAATTTGACTGGTTGCTTTATTGGTGTTTGATATTAAACATGACATGGGGTGCTTCTTTCATCAATCCAACCTTCATTTATGGGAATAAAAAAAGCATTCAAAGGAGTTTGACTGTCCTAAATCTCCCCTTTGCTTCCACATAACAAAAGCAAATTTATGGACTCTTTTAACATGAACTGCTACTTTCAGTTGTCTGGGATGGTTCTTTGTTGATCTGGGGACTCAGACCTAATAAATTACTAATGGAGGAATTTTCAATGGTGATGGTGTCATAACTTCAAACATCCACCCCATATGTAATTGTATTCCCCCCATCCTGGTAAAGATGGCTTTACCACAGTTAGCTTCCTTTTTCTCTGATGTGCTGATTGTAATGTCTACTCTGTATGGGCGTTAATAATTTATGAGCCTGAAATACAGCCTCTGTATTGAACTCATGAATGCAATTCAAAAGACTCCATGCCAATTCGATCAACCAACTTTCAGAGCAGGAAAAGTTTTCATCTTCTTTGTATAAGTCACAATGTGCCTCCTGTAAAAAGGGCCTGCCAGCATTTGAAGCCTTTAGACCTAATTTCTTCCTATGTGCTGAATGTCACTGAAGATCATGTTTGTCCAATAGTACTGTAGGTCAACACATTACCTGGATGTCACTATGGCAACAGATGGCATGGTATGATATTACTAGTGACTTGCAGGTTATGTATATATATAGCCTGGAAGCTTCTTCATGTGATGAGCATTCCCATCTTCTGATGGTAAGGCATTATCCTACATACATCTGCTGTAGAGCTGCTTTTGATGAATTCGTCCCTGAGCAGCCTGTCCTAGTTACTATATCTACAGTACTTAATTATTGTTGACATGTAACACATGTAATGTTTATTGATGTTACTCTTTTCAGGTGCAGTTGGTAAATGTTATGGAAGATTGCATAGATGGAACAATGGCAGTAAAAACTTGGGTACTCTGGAACTGCATATAGACTTCTGTACATTATCATGTATGTGTTGGTAAAGATTATAAGCACACAGCTTGTTGTCCTACCGGTAGTTCATATCACAACTGTTCCTGAGAGCTGAGAGCTGCCAGATGAGACTCATCATGAGAGAGATCAACTTCATCAGCAAGGAAGACCAGTTCCATACTTCTGCTTTTTTAACCAGCGATTGCCGTTGAATTTTATTGTAGTAATAAGTGTTAACCTTTCATTTGCTTCACGAGAAAAAAATGTCATCGTTCAGAGTCGAGCTTCAAGTACAACAGTTCCTGAGCCTGCTGGAAGCACCGATCATTCCTAGAAATGCTTTAAGTAGCCGCAGAGGAGTTCCAGGACAATGTATATTTCATTGTATGGCTGTAACTTACACAATAGAAAATTGAATTATAAAGCTGGATCTGAACCACCAAAGCAGGCACGTGTTAAAGGGCTTTGAGGTTTTCGACCATGGAAATGTTGCTTGGATCTTGAACAGTGTTTGGGTTACCTTTTAGAAAGAAGGTAAATGATTCATGTACATCTGGAAGATTAGTCTGCAGGACCCAAGTCTGTATTGCGTGGAGACAGATGATTGAGAAGGCAGCCATGTTGTGCTTCTGGAAACATGTGACTTACATAAATGTGTATTTATGTGTAACTGCCTCATACAGTCACAGCTTGATTGTCTCTTGGTTGAATCCTGTGTTCTTCCTGAGGAATCTCAAGTCATTTGCAATATTAGAAATGACAGAGAAAAATAGAGCTGTACAGCATGGCTGGATAGCATGAAGGAGTCGTCATGCTCATGGAACTTAAATCTATGCTGATAATGAAGACATCTTAGTTGTTAAAGAGGGTGTTGAATAGGGTAGTCCTTCATTTCCTGTACCATTGACCGTAGCAACGTTTTACATCATAGTCGGACTAACATGATTTCTGAATTTTGCAAGGAGATCTCTTTTCCATCAACGTAGATTTAAAAAGTCATGACAAGTAAGAGGACTGGAAACCAGGGAGAGGATGTTTGCATTGACACATGGCTTTCACATAAGGTCTGTTGCAGTTGTGATCAGGGTGACCTGAGATGGATGAGCTGAAAAATACAGCAAAACTTATACATAAAATTGTATTTAATACAGGAGGCATAAGATCGATTGTATGGAATTGTGTGAGCAGAAAAGTCCACATGCATACTGGTTTCAAGTTAAGTCTTTCTCTACCTGCAGAAATGGAAAAAGGACCAATGTTCTCATGTCATTGAAAGTGATGATTTCCTTCATGCACTGCACCTGCTCCTGTACATGTGTGTGTGTTTAGCCTTAGGTAAGCTTGCCAAATCGTTTTCCAGTCCTGGACATTGTATTTCAGCTTTCAGCCCTCATGATCCTTCTAAAACTGTAAATTGTTACCGAGTGCAGCTTTCTGGGTAAAAACAGAGACATTTTGTTTGTCATCTTCGAGTAGTTTTGTTTAGCACCTGTAGATAAAGATTTTTGTGGGGAATTATTTCTGCCAAGGGAACATGACACTTTTTCCTAACTGGTATTGCCTTTGCTGCTTGACTGGATATATAACCTGTATTGGTGGTTCAGATCCATTAAAACTTGAATATGCTTCTACATAATTGCCTGGTTCAAATTGTACCCTTCCCTTATCGTAGATGTTTAGATGTTATACTGCCCCATCGAGTCTTCCTTCCAGATATTCTTCTTCCAACACCTTCATGTCTGGTTTTTCAGATGTACTGCACAAACAAGCCTGTTTCCAGTGTTGGGAGTATTGCAGCCTACAAGACGACCAGTGACTGTGTTACCCGGTTACCTATTGCCTTTTATAGCAGTTGCAGCCTGATATACATGTAATTCTTCTATCGCATTTCACTCAGTTTGCCTCATGAAGATGCAGGTCACCAGCTTGGTTTGTTGAGCAGTAACTTGCTTTCTGTGCTGAATGGTAAGTACAATACACTTCTCCCTGCTGGGGTTGCATTAATATTCATGCACCAAGTTTATAAACCAGCAGGGAGAGGTTAAGGTTATATACGCATCCACAACGGAAATGGGACCATATTCACATAGTTTCGATGCCTCCTGCTTATTGCCTACTCACTGTTTCCCCCCCAGGTGAAAGATCAAGGCTTGCATCATGGCTGTGGTAATCCGCCTTCAGGGTCTCCCATGGTCGGCCTCCGCCATGGACATTCGCTCCTTCTTCTCCGGCCTCACAATTCCCGATGGTGGGGTGCATATAGTGGGTGGGGATGCAGGAGATGCCTTCATTATCTTTGCCTCCGACGAAGACGCCCGCCAGGCGATGGCTCGCACGGGAAACACGATCCACGGCTCGCCTATCACCCTGTACCTGAGCTCCCGCAAGGAGATGCAGGATCGCATCAACATGAGCAGAAGCACAACTTTTGACTCTCCTACACCAGTAGCTACCAGCAATGTGGAGAAAACTCAGTCGCCTAGTTTTGGGTCCAGAAATGTGGCCCCGAATGGCTCATCTTATGTCCCTCCTGCAGTGCAAGAAAGTGGGTACAGCAGTATGTCCTCCTCAAGCTATAATTCCTCTCCATTCAGTGCAGCGCAGACATGCATTCAACTGTTCGGCCTCAACACCAATGTCACAGTGTCAGAAATCCACTCCCTCTTCTCTGGGTTGGAGATAGCCAGTGATGGCATTGTCATTGAGATGGATCCTTTTGGTAACAAGACAGGCAAAGCCTTTGTCAAATTCAAGTCTGTCCGTGACTGTTCTGCTGCGGTGCGTACATACAAGGAGTATCTGGCTGCTCGTCACATCGAAGTTCTGTCTAGCACCGAGAATCAGTGGCAGATAGCTTATGACTTTGCTAAAGCTGTTCAGGCACCGGCAGTCACCAGCTATGCTAACACCAACACTGGGGAGTGATGCAGCGAATGCAGCCTCAGCCTCGACAGACCCAGCCTACAAACCCCCAACACTCCCGTTCCCCCGTTTATGCCAAGATCGGGAGCCCAACAAAGCAGGGCCCAAGGTGCCCAACGCCCTCGCTCTCGTTCCCCTATTGAACGCACTGACTCCATGTGTATTAGCCTCAAGGGGCTCCCATACACCGCAAAGGATAAGGATGTCCGAGATTTCTCCAAAGGCCTGGGCATCAGGAAGGTTTGGATTGATTTTGAAGATGGTAAGGCCATTGGCAGTGGGTTTGTTGAGTTCAAATCCTACGGTGATCAGAAGGCAGCCCTGCGGCTACATAAGAAATACATGGGAAGCAGATACATTGAGGTCACCAGCGCACCATCTTCTGACATGCAGAAACATATCCAGAAGTTCCGTGAGACCAGGAAGGCTCAAAATGAGAAGAAGAAAGCTGAAGCTGCGAAAAAAGCTGCTGCAGAAGCAGAGGTCAGGAAGGCTGACGATGCAAGAAAGGCAGAAGAAAGCAAGCGGGCTGAAGAAACCAGAAGGGCTGAGTCTCGAAGAGCAGAAGAGGCCAGAAAGGCAGCAGATGCTGAAGCCAAAGCTAAAAAAGAAGCAGAAGCCAAGAAAGCTTCTGAGGCTAAGAAGGCTGCAGCTTCAGCAACAGTGTCTACACCAGCACAGACTCCTGCCGCTGTGAAGCGCCAGGCTTCATCAGAGCCTACCTCTGAGCCCTCGCCAGCAAAGAAACCAGCACTTGAGCCAACTCCTTCACCTTCACATCCTCCCCAGAGTGGAGAGAAGACAAAGCAAGAACAAGCAAAACCTGAAGCAGCTGCTGAAGTCAAAGTTGAGGCAAAAGCTGTTGAGAAAACCCCAGCAAAGGCAGCAGAAGATCAACCAAGTAAAGCAGGGCCAGAGAAGGAGAAAGCAAAACAGGAAGCTGCACAGCCTAATCCCAAATCTGAAGAAAAAGAGAAAGTTTCAAAGAAACCAGACTCCAAGGCCAAGAAGGGTTCCAAGTCACCGGGGAAGGAGGCTAAAAGTACCAAGGAGCTTGATCCCAGGGCAAAGTGTTGCATGCACGTTTGGAACCTTCCTTACAAGGCAAGTAAACGAGAGATTGAGAATTTCTTCACGGGCAGCACCATCGCCGAGAGGGGTATTCACATGGTTTATACCAAGACGGGAGAGTTCTCGGGCGAGGTCTTTGTTGAGTTTGTTGGTATTGCGGACTGTGACAGGGCTTACAAGCTTCGAGCAAAGCGCCTGGGCGGTCGAATGGCCCTTCTCCGCCCCATCACAAGGGAGGAGATGCGGGACCGCATGGCAAGGCCAACCCAGCGTGACATGCGTACCTCAGAGAAGGATAGAGAAAGGCGGCAGCAAGACCGTATGATGGGGCAGGATCAAATGCTCGAGCCCCCTCGCAGGGGGCCACAAGGGCCTCAGATACCAAGCTTGCTGGACCTTCCTTCAAGTGCCCCACTATCCGGAAATGTTGGCATGCCACAGTTCCCACCTCAAATGGGAGTGCAGCAGGGCCCCGGATTGGTCCCAGGGGGTAACATGAATATGCCCAACGTTGGGCCTCCTGCTCCTGCATTCAACACCAATGAGCCCCCGAGTGACATTGTCGGCATTCAAAACCTCCCCCTCACAGCCACTATGGAGGAAATCCTGGACTTCTTCTATGGCTACCCTGTCCTGAAGGACTCTGTCCACATTCACCGTTCTGACCGTGGGGCTCCCACAGGCAATGCATCCGTGGCTTTCCCCACCCCCCAGGATGCCATGATTGCAGTACGGGAGTTGAACGGCCGGCCTATGGGTGTCAAGAAGTTGCGCCTTCTCCTCATCTAGCCCTGGAAACAGGTACCCACCCATGACCATGTTGGTAAGAGACCACCTTGCTTCTTCAATTTGCTTAACCATCTCTCTGTACTTCAGCTGAATGTGCTATGCAATGAGGTAGTCAGTGGCATTGACAACATGGGAGAGGGTTCTTGTCTAGAAAGGTCATGGTGTTAGAGGTTCTGGCAGTTGTCCTTTGTCATACAATAATCTTGATAATTGCCAAGGATAGCAGCAGATGGAGCATTTTTTGAGAAATTAGTTCCCACCGACAAAAGTGCATGCCTGAGGGGTATAGAGTGTCTTACAGAGTCTTCTTGCACCAATGGATCTTTCTTGCAATCTGTGTACGTGTATTTCATCATTCTTAGTCTTTATTTCTCTTTCTATTCAATTTAAGAAACCATGCAGAATCCTGCTACTGTTGCTGAGTGATAGCAATTTATGGAATTCAATTTGAAGTGAAGCTGTGGTGAAAAGAAATTCAACTCGAGGCATTTGAGAAGGCATGTTTGAAAAGTGCATTGGATCAGGACAATCCTAGCATTTGTGAAATATTGTCCAGAATTTTATCTGTTGCTTTTCTCAATACACAATTGCTCAATATCTTTTTGTCCGTGGGCTTCCTGTTTATTTTATTTCTTTGGAATCTCTTGGAGTCCCTCAAGACCTTAAGCTTTTTAAAAATGTAAGTGTTCAACATAGACCCTGTGCATTTTTTTGTTCATGAAATTTCCTGTACAATTTGGTTTGTGTAGTAAATGGCAGGGTATCCAGAAGACGTTGAAAGTTCCCTGAAGATCCAAGGGTTTGCAAATATTACCAGAACAGTTTTTTTACTGCAAAAGAAAAAAAAGACATATGTAGTTTTACAGGGTGCTGCTTTCTAGGCCCTACTTTCATGATCTTTACCAGGTCCCCAAGGTAGCAGTGTAGTTCTTATAATTGCTTTCAGAGCCATGTGACTGCAAGAGGGAAATTTCCTGACACTTTGTCTTTGTATGTGCACTGCATGTTCCAGTGTCCACATTTCTGTCTGTCCAGTGAGGATGGTGATATTTAGACTAGTCATAGATTAAGTCCTGTGCAATGTTGCATTTGATCCTGTCACTTTTCATCCACATCTGTGCTCTGGTCAGAGCAAGGTCTTGATCAAGAATCCTGCAAAGTTGGAAGTCAGATTTGAAGGGCTTGCCTGAGTTGTTGGTTTGTTCAAAGACTGCTTTAATCATGTATGTTGCAAAGGGGTGACTTGATGGTTGGTTTGCTGGTCTCATGCTGCCATACTCTTGGTGCTTGTTGGATTATGACTGGATGATAACTTACAAATATACACTGCAAGCAAACTCATTTTATTCTTTCTTTTCAATCCTACAGATTCTGCAAGATTTGGAAGGGAAGTGCCATCTACCGGGAGGGCCAAGGCTGATGTCAACGTTCAAGCCAACTTTGTAAATGTAAATGATTAGGTACTTAGCTGTAGAATGTATCAAGAGCCCTTTTTTCAAGTAGTCATGTTATTCTACAAGTCATTTTACTACGTAAGCCAAATGGTGCAGTGTTGACAAAACTTCATACCATTATTCTGTGTTCAAACAAGTCATTCCATAAGATTGAAACATTAACATGTATGTATTAATGTTAGGACATCCTGACAGTCTATTGTAAACATTATGATAATAGACTTCGTAGTGGAGGTTTTTGTATTGTATCTACCTGCATTGTAAATCTTCATATAATCATTTACTCTAAAAGCTAAAAGCTGAAACATTACATTTAAGTTCATTTTGTAATCTATAGTCTTCACACAGGACTTGAAATACCCACATGCAGAAAAGAATTTTTGCGGAAACAAATATTAACAACTTGCAATTGGTTAGTATGAGAATACAAGCTCTAAATTTTTCAATTACATTGTATAAATTGCAGAAAACCACAAGTGCATGTATTCCAAGCCCAGTGAGTTGATACATTTGAATACTGATTAGCAACTTGATAACACACTACTTATAAGAGTGATGATCAGTGATCTTTAGTTTCTTTGGCATTTCAGGCAATGTCATAGTCATTAGTTTTTGGAGTTGCAGGTAATTACATTGTTTAACTCAGCAACATAAGGGTCATTGTTAGAGGTGTTTGGTGCCAAGTATTACTAACAATATATAAACAGTTAACAATGTCCAGTATTTGTAGGGAGCATCTCTAATAACATCAAGTAAGATAGGCTGCACCAAGTCAGTTTAATTTTGGACATTTGATGTTTAGCATGAAATTAAAACGCAGGGAACCTATTCAATGGACCACCAAAATAATATAGTATTGAGTTGTAAATGTAACGTACCAATCTCCATTTGACATTGTGTGATTGTAATGAAGGCACAGTGTAGTTTTGTACATTTGTAGAGCTACCAATTGTTAACTTACTGCTACTAAGAGTAGGACTTAGTTTTAGAGGATGACCAGGAAGGATTGGTGGGGGCAGGGATGTTTTGGGAAAGAATTTATACAAACTACCTGAAATAAACATTTTGCACCAACATCCTCAACCATCCTTCCTAGCCTACCTCCTAAACTGAATGTTACAGTTAAAAGACTTTAATGGATTAGATGTACCATCAGGATCTTGACATCATGGCATTTTTATACAGAGCTGGAAGGGGTGTTTTCTGAAAGGGCAGCATGATTTTATTTACTGAGATTTTGTATTAAGGTTAGGTTTGACATGTAGCATATAATTGCTTTGCATGTACCCATAGAAAGGTACCCATTGTACATGCATATATGCTGGTGCGCACAGAGAAAAAGTGTTTTTGCAATTTTTCAACATTTGTAGTGCTTCTGGTTTAGTGTTTCGATGTTCATGTACAACAAGCATTATCATGTGTCAATAAAAAGTAGTTCTCAAAAAAGTTTGTTGGCAATGACTTTGTTGGATTTGCTTATAATTAAGAAGATAGACACTACACAGAAAGGCTGGCTTACTTCAAGAATACTTCAGACACAGGCACTACAACCCAGGCACCCCTTTTCTGTCTGAACAACTCAAAATTGCTGACATGTCAGGGCCACAAACAATTCAGGTCTTTCACATGTTGACGGACGTGCAAAATCCCACATCCGTTAGTGCTCTACAGAACAATTGGCTCCAGACGAACATGTACTTAATATGAGGTCATGTCTTCTCGCCTCTCAAATAGGGAGTATTACATACATATACATGTACATACCAGGGGAGTTGGTCCGCTAAAGGAGTACAGTTTATATGGCACCTAGTGCAAACTATACTCCTTTAGCCGACTAATTCCCCTGACATATTTTTCTATTTGGCCTATCACAACTTATTCAAGCCTGCTTTCTTTGCAACTAATGCGTGGCACAAAATGTTGAAACTACTGACTGGTACCGGTATGCCTAAACCAACTTTCTTTGTACAAAAACGCAAAGGACGACAAATTTATTTGCATTCCGTGTGTGGTCCATTCTTCCTGTATTTCATCATGCTTCTGGCTGAACTCCTTTCACTTTTAACTTTACTGTCAATAAACGTTTAACGTGGGTGGGAAGACGTGTCACACCAGGGATTCCAGGTAGTACAAAAAGAGTAAGGTGTAGTATCGGTCACATGGTTGTCACCGTTATAATCGATCAGCATGAACACTTGACATAACGTGGTAGGAATTTTAGTCACCCCCCGCTTTTTGAAGGCGGTCAATGGCCCTTCAGTAAATGCACTGGAGTCTTCGTGCTAGCTAGTTTGAAACATCCACTAATGGTAGAGACAACTTGAAATCGGCGTAAAGACCTTTGTAAGAACGTCTATTCACACACAAACGTAATTATTGCTTGGTACAGAAATTTAAGGTGACGCATAGTTTTATTCTTATACTCAACAAAAGACACTTTACAAAGGACTAAAACGCGTAATGGCGTCATGTATTTAAAACACGCACAAAAAGTCCAGGACATATTTAGTTGAATCATTTCCTTCCCGTTCCGAGTATATATTGCCATAAGCCGTGTCTAGTTTCAGAAACGTTGATGTCATCGGAATTGTAGACAGCAGCACACAGAAGAAAATGTTGCTGACATGTCGACAGCGAGACAAGGTCACACAACTTACGTTATCCCGGAAGTATCAAATCTTACCAGAAGGCCAAAATACACGTCATATAAAACTCATTAAACATGTTAAAGAAGCACATTCTCTAGCTTCTAACATCTTCCCCGTCCGGCGTCCTTTGAAACATCGCGTTCCACCCAAATCTTGCAAAGTTTTGTACTTCGACTGACAACAGTTACGGGTAATCATTACTGACGCCATGTTTTTCTGAGGACTACCTGTCGTACTTCCGTGTGACGTCACATCCGGCCCAAAGACTAACCTGTTGCTACCATATATGGAAATTGGGGCGGTACTTGATGACACATTTAAAATCTCTACACATCTTGGAAGGCGCACTACGCGCCCACGTACCTGCACGTGATAGAAACTTGCAATTCTGGAGAGGCTAAAAATAAATTTTTGACGTGCCTGTCACATAGAAAAGACGTTCGTGGGCAGATCGGAGTTCAGTCGGAAGAAGAAATTCAGACGAACAAGTCAAAGTCAAGCTTGAACTCAAGACCACCATGCCTGATACCTCGTCCACGCAAAGGTATGATGTAATACTTGCTTCATTAATATTGCCGGGTATACCGGTTGTAATGGTATAATCTTCGTAAAGATATACATAATTTTAATTCTAACCTAAATTCTGATTTAATGATATCAGAACTGTCCATAGATTTTGTCGAAATACTCTTTTTTTCACTATCTCGAGGAAAGAAAATTATTCTCTCTAAACAGGACTTTAAGGAAGGTGTAAATTATACTCACCCAAGGCCTATTCAGTATGTGATTTTTCTCGAACACAAGTACAGAACTGTACCCAGTCGTACTCACTTTTTTTGGTTTATTTTGTTAATACAGAGCTAGACTATATATTTATATATACATGCAATATGTCCTTGTACAGAGGAAAAAGAGGGCTTTGGGAAGGGAGTGAGTTAGTCTATGTCAGGAGACAATTTACTTGTATATTCGAACTTTCTGTCTATTGCCGTGTATCAAGGCAGTGTTGATGTTTTCTAACATACGTAGTACACATAAGTCTTTTTTTTTAATTTTTTTTATTCCAACATGTAATCACCAGACGTGGTGACGACACACTCAGGTTTTTTCAACTTATATTAATGCCGCCACCAACACAGGAGACAAATATATGACAGGACTATACTCATTTACACCTGAGCTGAGTGAGGAAAGTCGTGTAAAGTGCCTTTCCCAAGGGCACAAGATCGGTGGCATGTCAGGACTCGAACCCGGGACTCTAAGTTCCGAGTCGCGCACTCTGCCACTACGCCACACGACCCCACTACCCCACCAGTCTTTTTGTTGTTGAACGGTCAAACTTTTATATTAGGTGGCTCACCCCATTTTGGTGGTTCTTTGATGGAATTAATTAACGGATTTTCCCAGGTCGAATATGGCAACTGACTTTAGAATTCACAAGACGCGAGCGAATATATGGGAAACTCTTTCATAGCTCTTGAAATACTTTTGCTCAGAGAAATTAGTGTGGTCTATTAACACTACGCGACCCCACAACACTTTCTAAGATGTTGGAATTTCCCACGGATCGAGCTATTGCAACACCTTAAAGTCACAAGACGCAAGTACATAATAAACTTCCCCTTTCATTTTCACGTTACCGATGGTCTTGTGACCCGTCACCGGGTGGCAAGGTGGTCTTGTGGTCAGAGTTGTTGACTCAACGAAGGTTCTGGGTTCGAATCCCCATTGTTTGTGTCCTTGCAAAATGCGCCACTTATTAGTATTTCCTCACTCGACTCAGGTGTAAATGAGTACCTAGCTTCGGTTAGGGACATCCTCTCGGATAGGACCTAAAGCCGGAGGTCCCGTGTTTGAGCGCGTTAAAGATCCCAGCACACTTGTCGAAAAGAGCAGTAGGGGTCCTTTCCTCTTGCTCACAGAAGTTAGTGTGACCCTACCTTGTATGAGTGGTTCAAACCTTACAGTCCGGTCTCAGGTTTTTCATCTTAAGGAGGCGATAGTCACCTGTTATGTCAATCCTTTCACAAATGCGGTAACGCTTCATAAGTACATCAGCGTGGGAGGAGGTACCGTGTTTTTCTCGCCTCGAAAACAAAGTTGCATCATCTCGAAGCCTGTCATTAAGCACAAATGTTGACCGTGCTTTTCGGGTGATTGCTTTAGAAAAGCTAGTCTTGTGACCATCATTACCTCATCCCTTGCCGACGTGAACTTCAACACGACACCTCGCAATCACAAGACAAGAAACGTCAAACGACTTTACTCTTGTCACGCGTCAAGTGACTTTTTTTATCCCAGCTGAGGCATGGATTAGGAGCAGAGCTAGCTGTCCAGAGTTGAGTTTTTGAAAACAGATTTTCAATTTCTCATTAGCTGCCTCTTTATGTTTCGCTACCAAAAGTGTATATTTCGCTACCAAAAGTGTATATTTCGTTCGAAATTCCCGACGTTTTGTCGGAAAAAGAAATAATTCATTCACACTAATAGTGTGTTTGTATATGACTAGATTCGCCATCTTCAACCTTTTCGGAATCTTTCATCTCACTGAGCTGAAAATCAGTCGCTTTGTGCCCGAGTCTAAGTAACGGTCACGCAAACGTATGACGAAGCACTCTTCGAAAAGTCGAGAAAGCCCCTGCGCCAGAAGAAGCGTGTACGTAGTGTGGTGTCACGAAGCCGATTTCATTTTTTGTGTATTCTGGACTAACGCCAATGTTCCCAAGTAATATTTTCGTGCTTGGGCTTGTTTGATATTTGCAGTCTTACATCATGTAGGCTTATTGCCATGTTCATTTTCATAAAAACGTTGGAGTTTTAGGTTAGAACGATTATACTACATAGAAGCAAAATTACATCATTGATAAAATACACAGTGTATTTACTTGACTAGTGACAAATTGACGGTGAAAAGGACCCTGTCAACATGGTTGACACGTCTTTTAAACATGATTGACACCTAGCCTTGGCGGAACAAAGCTCACTGCCCGCACATTGGAAAGGAACAGACAGTTGCCTGGGCGATTATTTCGCTCGAAGAAGCTCATTGTTGTCAGCATTTTCTGAATCATTTTGGGAAAACCCTTTATAAGTGGATAAATGATGAACAAATTTTGGGTCGGAAAACCCCCAGCTAACGTAGTGTCTCATTATAATGGAGTTACGTTATGTGTTTTTTCTTATTCTCAATAAATGCGAATATTGTGATCAGTAAATAAGTTATTCTTAACGTCATATACAGTTTGATGTGGTTCAAAAGCAAATTCGAAGTTCGAAAAAATTCGCAAAGCTAAAGAAATAAATCTCAAAAGGCATTACGTGAACTATCTCTTGACTTGAAAGTTTGGTAAACAAACAAAAACCTACTTCAAGAAGAGTGTTGCAAAATTTGCTCTAAAACGGTTAAAAATTATGCATTTACCGGTCATTCAACTTCGTCCCATAAATTATTCTGATCAAGACGGCCCTTTGACACTAATTGTTTTTTGATTGACACCGACGACGTTAACTTGACACTTTAGACTTGTAAGCAGCTCGCTCAGCGTTTTGGACGGGGATTGCGTCACCAGTGGGAGAGTTAACTTTTAATTAGTAAGTAAACTTGTTGAACAAATGGGATCGTTCGGCCCTGATGCAACATGTTTATTTGGGGCTGAACAAACACTCACTAAGCCGTCACCCGATCAACCCTCTGTCATTTTCTCCAGCTAAGATTAACTACGCCCAAACTCTGAGTACTGCTTGTAAAACTGTAGTCGTGCTTTTGAGAAAGCGCTAGTTCTATTAAGAACTCTTGAGTCGTCACAAAGAAGTCGTCCACATGGAGCCCTGCATTTCACCTGAGACAGAGGTCCCGCCAAAGTCAGAAATGTGGGTACAGTTTGTTCAATATTTCTACAGAAAGTTTAGAAACGGCTCTCAAAGGCAGCGTTACTGTGTTGTTAACGTTGTTTTTTGTGGTCGGTGTACCGGTTTATCGGTATGTCTTGCGGTGTGTAGTTGGCAGTAGGGGATTTGGACTGGGCTCAGTTTGTGGGGTTGCGTACGTGTCTAGGCGGCCAAAGTCCATACTGTTAACCTCAGTGAGTCGCAATGGTTAGTTTTGGGGCGAATGACTTGTCCTCTTGAACTACATGCACATACATGGAACCCTTCATTCAGCGGCAAACGTGCTGCTTAAGCAATACACCCTACCGATCGGCTTAGCGCATTTCTAACGATTTTACGTAGCTCGTGGGAGTCAGGTAGAAGTTTTCAAAAATACTGAAGAATGTTACAATTAGTCGACGCAAAGTATCAACAGAAGAACACATCGTGAACATGTGTTTGTACACAGTGGATTGTTTTGACGTTGATTCACTTCAGCTGAGGTCTGCGCACTACCATAGCGGAATGCCCAGTATCTCCTCGTGCGCATGCGTTGACCCGTACAAGCGTGACAACTAGTATTTGCTCAACTAATCCAGAAAAGTGCAAAAGGATTTGAAAACAAAGAACTCGAAAAGCCTGTCTCAAGGTGATGTCGTCTGAAGGCCGCAGATATGTACATAGGGGCGCTGTCAGCATTTCTTACCTGACTAAATCCCCAAGCAGATGTAAGAATCCGGCTCTTAAAGGGGTCCCGCAGCCCAGAAGGGAGTGTTATTTTCCGACAGACACTTGTATTACTAGTATTGTTTTTAAGTGAAAAATGAACATTACTTTACATTATACGATAATATAACCATTATGCACACAATCAATCAATCAATCAATCAATCAATCAATCAATCAATCGTTCCAAATACCGGCCTAAAACAAATTTTCTCAGAAGCATCTGGTAGAAATGGTAAGCAATCAGCTAGACTCGTTTTGGCGACGCCTCAGGAACAGGGCCCTCTTGACCTAATATACACCGTACTGAAATCCGGATTGACTAATTTGCTGCAAAACGTCGTTTTTTTCCACATCGGAAAATGAGTCTTCATGTCAAACTGGGAACAAGATTGATAGTTCTTATGTTACTTAAGTTGGTAGGGTGAAATAGGTAATACATTAATGGTATTAATGCACGTTTCTATATCTTACAGAGGTTTAGACGAGCCAGATGTTGGAATGGTAAATCGAAGACAATATCGTCCGGAATGTGACCCCAGAAAGGATATACTTCGCAAACTGTGGAGTGACGTAAGGAAGGAAAAGAGCGAGACAGGTAAGAACGAGGGAATGCGACCCCGAAACGTCGATGGCAAGTGGTGTAGAAATCAACAATAGCGGGCCAAACGGGTGGTTTATAGGAAACAAAAATAGCCTTCTCAAATTGAGTTCATCACTCGTATACAATCTGCGACAATACCTGAGTTCGTTTATGATCATTTTAACTTCGAATTCTGCCCCACGACAGCATAATGTACACACTACATCTCATTGAGAACTTCTCGTGAAATTAAAGCTACCTTTCACGGCGTCGTGTTTGTTTTGATAGCTTATGTTTAGGAAATTGTTATTTGTGATTTTACAGTGGAAACAAGCTGTATCATAATATCATTCTTCCGTTCACAGGACGGTTTCGTCTGTTGGCGAAGTCCATGCGGACTGTGGTACAGAAGAAGGAGGCTGACAAGTGGAGAAAGGTCCTGCTGCACATGGGACAATTCTCCATGCCGCAGATGTACACAGACTTCCTGAACTTCACTCACAACGTGGTGAGTAAGGATCAGACTTCACTTGTGGACAAGTATCAAGAATGACGAACAAGATGCAGTTTTCTATATTTTGAAAATGACAAATTGTTCTAGTAAAACACAGAGTTTCCTCAATGGTTATGCAAATTAGCGTTAGTTACATCTTTATGCAAATTGCTGTATAAGTTTTATGTATGTGTTTGTGCTTCTTTTTGTAGATCTTAGACAGCCTGGTGGAATTACAGAAGATGTCGAAGTCGTCTTCAGTGCGGAAACTGGCGGTTGTGTCAGATTGTCGTGCCAAACCCACCATCTTGGATCAGAACACCTGGCTGGAGTTCGTCCTGGCGCTGGGCGTGCCCGTGGAGGATGCCGGGAGTTCTGCCGACCTGAGCCGGACGTCCGTCTGTCTGAGCCGTCAGACGTCTGCTGACGACCTCTGCACGGTTCTGCGGCTACTGGACGCTCTAAAGAGTAGGTTTAATAGGCTATTAGACCTGTTATCGTTGCCCCTTTAATAGACAGGGGATGTGGCCTTGTACATTTGTAAACAGTATTCAGATATCAAAGTCACTTCATCCACCATGCGAAAAGCCTTCTCTTTTTCAAATATAAATCTAATCTAAATTCAAATGAGCGTCTGTAAGTGCAATGTACTGTACAGAATCCATTTCCGCGTATATCGGAGTATAATAAATAATAAAGATAGCTGTCAACTGAATGACAGTAAGTCCATTGTCCCTCATAGGCTATGCGTTGCTCTCTGTTAACTATATTTTCCCTACTCTTGTGTCTTATTCAGCTCTGGGGATCGAACCCGTCCGCCACCTCAGTAACTCCACATCTGACGACAGAAGAAGAATGCGGGACTTGGTAAGTAAACCTGTAAAAAAAATGTAAAAAAAGTTAGTTCAGTTACTTTACCAAATTTTTAAAAGTGATTAACACGGCCCAAGACTATTCATCATCATCATCTGACATCCTCCGTAGAGGTGGAGCATACAAAGTTAGTTCGCCAAGACTATTTAGACGCTCAAAGTTGAGAGGTTCGAGGCCCGCTCAGCTCGACTTGTCGTTCGGGTTTGCATTTGTCCTTTCGGTTGGGGACGTAAAGCCTACATTCTTTGCGGACCTACAGAAGTGCACCAGAGAAAACCCTCTATGTAATTATCTATACTAAATTTCTTTTTTCTTATCATTTCCAGTTGGGCCTGTACCTGCAGTACCCTCAGATGGAGCTGGACCTGACAGACGACAGAATCCAGGGTTTGTGGGGGAAGTACACTCCTCAGAGGGAACTCCTGGAGAGACTGGGGCTACAGCAGTGCAAGGAGGACAACTTGAAGTTCATCAGAAGACGGGAACGAGATGGGAAAGAAAACGCTTCGCCTGATTTCTCTCTGTCCTCCACTGAGCTGGGTTATGTGTTGTTATCAGCGCTGTGTCCTCCTGTCAGTTATGAAACACAAGTTTAACCCTTTGAGTGTTTGTATTGTCAAAAATGTATCACATTTGTAACCACGCTTCAAGGACGTTGAGACATATACACCTATGTTTTTTAACCTCTACGTAACCTTGAAAACGTACGTATACAAGGTACAATCTTCGGCCTAAGCCGCTTAAGGGAGGATAGTCAAGGGTCCTGTTTAAATGCATCGTTATGCAGGTTTCAACAATATGTTATAATAATGCATGCAAGTTCAGAAATCATAAAGATTTAAAAGTGCTAATCGCCGACAATAACATTTCATATTCCATATAGCAACATATTTCTCCTGTAGTGGTTCATCCCAATGTATTTTAACAGTATTTCGTCTCAATTGATTACCGTCAACTATGGTAATGTTGTTAAGATTGAAATATTATAAGTATACGTGACGCCGCAGGCTAACAGATTTGTTCTTTGTCTATAGATCCTCCCTATTTTGTAATAAACATGCAATGTTAACCACGTTTCATGGCCGGCCTTCATTCCACCATACGATTCAAGGGTGTTTACTGCTGCTATTAAATGGTTTCAAGACAGACGAACTTTAACTGTAATTTCATAAGGCTACATTGACTCGCTTTTTTTTTGGTAGATGACATCAGCTTTGCAAACTCAGTAGCAATTAAAAATTAAAGGGACTCTGACTTGGTTTCATTTGTGCCGCCCTATATATGGACACCTCCAAAACTGATGTAAACGATCACAAAGATTATGCAAATACTAAACATTAGTTTGCTTTACTTAATTCATTACCCCGTTTAATTCCTGTGCAAAAAAGAAACCCCGATAAAAAAGCCTAAAAATGCGCCAAAAATGAGCCAGAACCCAAACTTCTGCTTGGAAAGTATAGAAATAAGCCAAATATAGAGATAAACATGCCAGGGGAGTTGGTGAGGCAAACTGTACTTTTTTAGCGAACCAACTGGTTTCTACTCTGTCCAGCCGCCTCCCGAAGCCTGGTAGAGGCTAGTCTGGTGGTAGGAGTCTATCCCGTCAGTCATGTTTGTAATCAAGGGTCACCGAAAGTTCAACCACGCTGGGGTTGCCCGGAAGTTGCCCGGCACTCAGGACTGACACAAATCTGCGACAACTACACTGCCTTAGATCCTTGTATTCGACTAGTTTGATCTAGAAGGTTTAATCTCCTTGGTTTGGCAAAATCTTCTGATGGCGTCGGCAGTGTTCAGGCAATGTTTCCACCGTGACTCGGCTGGTTTCTTGTGGTGCGAAGGAGTTCGGGTGAAGTCACTCCAGGAAGACCTGTCAAGAAGACTTCCACGCCCCTCGTGCAGCCCTTTTTACCTGTACAGCCTCGCACAGGTGCGCCACAACGTCTCAAGGTACAAGGAAGCGCTCAAGACGTTGCCGAACCCGCACATCTTGGGATATTCTCTCAAGGCGAACGGGAACTTGGAGATCTTGAAGGAGCTGAGAGGCATGGGGTGCGGGGCGGTGACCGTTAGTGGGAACGAGATCAGGCTGGCTCTGGCAGCGGGGTTCAAGCCGGACAGTATTGTGTACAACGGTAACGGCAAACAGGTAAGGGTTTAACCCCCATTAAGAACCCCTGAAAGGTTCTATTTAAACAGTACTTCGAGATGTTATACTAAACTGAGAGCTTCTCTAAAGTACTAGAGTATCCTACACATTACACAAGCATTACTTTACCGTGAGTGAAAGGCAACAAGGTTGAGTTGTATACTATTAGGAAGCTGGTGTTGACACATGTCTTTAATGCCGACGTTAGAGCAACAGAATACTAGTTACCGTCTGGAATGGATCTAAAAGCCTGTATCTGCAGGATTGGGAGTTAGAGCTGGCTGTGAAAGTGAACTGTCTAATCAACGTGGACTCGGACTTCGACTTGCGCCATGTACGGAGCGCTGCCGAGGCCGTCCGCCAGAGGGCGCGCGTGCTCATCAGAATCAATCCCGACATCGATCCTGTAAGTAATACTTTATGAAGTACTTCATTGATACAGAGATAACATTTGATAACATTTTGATAAAGAGACTGCATTGTTAACACAAGAGTATACTGTACTGTTCTATTTCTGTAAAATAATGAAACTAATAATAGAAATATAGTCACATCATTTTTAACCTCCCTGGGCAAATCAACAATGCAATATTATAAGAGTCTTATAACAAATATCATAACACAGATGAAAGGAGGGCTGGATGGTTGTCTAGCTTGATGTGGCAAAATGTTGACAACATTACCTGGTGAAAACAAGGCAATTAAATTTCAGTTGTTTTCTTTTGTAGTTTGTGCATACATGTATTTGGATTTTGAACAATCATGCTGTCATTTAGCAATTCATATCATGAATTTTCCTCTCCAGAAAGTGCATCCCTATAACTCCACTGGTCTGGCCAGCAGTAAGTTTGGTCTGGAGTGCAGCCAGCTGCCTGGTCTGCTGCAGCAGGTGCGCAGGTGGCCGGAACAGCTGCAGCTGGTGGGACTGCACTGCCACCTGGGGTCCACCATCACAGATGTCTCTCTGTTCAGGTCAGGCCTGCATTCCTGTAAAACTTGTACGTAACTCAGGAGACCAGTTAACCCCAAAAAAGTTATCACTTTCCCACTACCAAGGTAGCCTTTAATTTGGATGTTAGTTGTATTGGTGGAATGCAGGGCTCTAGCCAGCACCCGTTTCCCATCAATTGCAGGAACTTTGTGACGTGTTATGGAAAAACTTTTAAAACCAATTTGTCAACCATGATGTACAAAATTGAAAGAAAATCTTGGGTAAAAATGTAAAAACATCCAATCACTCTAAACCTTTCTCTAAATCTGTATTGCAGGGATGTAGTTTCTGTAGTGTCTGCTGAGATGGCATCAGTCAGGTCTCAGGGCTTCAACGATCTGCAGTACCTCAACATGGGAGGGGGACTGGGCATCAACTATCTACGACAGGTGGGTCAATCATTCTTCTTGCCTCAATGCACGGTTTAGCATCAGTTGTTCCCCGTCTTCCGACGGTTAGACGTGCTCGCACACCTTTGCTGAGGCTTGATGATAGTCCGCCATTTGCCTCTATCTTCAGGGTTGGACAAGTTTTCAAAAATCCACTTGCCGTATCGGGCAAGTACCTGGTCATTTCCACTTGCCCGAACCAACTTTTCACTTGCCCAAAATTTGATGCATTTCTATGCATTTTACTAGCAGGAAGGAAATTATTTTATTATAATAGAGTTTATAATGTTGGATGCTTTATTTATCAAAATCGTTTGAAACTTGGTCGAAATACGGCAGGGGCTATACTTTGCATCCAAAAAATATACTTGCCCAATCGGGCAAGTCCAGGGGGATATTTACTTGCCCGAACAGTACTTTTACTTGCCCTGGGCAAGTGGGCAATGGGACTTGTCCAACCCTGATCTTGTGGGTTGATGTTATGAGTGTTGAGGTCCTCCTTGCCATTGTCAATCCATCTCTTTTTGGTCAACCTCGTGGGTTTTGGCCTTCCACATCCAGTGTGATGATCTTGCTAGGCCACTTCTCACTTTCCATTCTGAATTTCAACTTGTGACAATTTTAGCTTTGTTGTTTCAGGAAGACAGTAACAACCCCTCCCCAGGTGACTTGGTATCTTCCATCCGTGATGCGCTGACAGACAAAAACATCTGCCTCATCTTGGAGCCTGGACGGTCCATCATAGGGGATGCCGCCATCTTGGTCACCAAGGTCATAGGGGTCAAGAGTAATGGAGAGAAAAGGTGCTAAGAAAAAGCAGATTCTTACAATGAAATTAGATTATCTACCTTTGAAAAAAAATTAAAATTGCTTGGCATACTTAGAAACAGTGCATGTAGCTGATATTTTTAATCTAACTGTTGATGAAACAAGTCTTTTGCCCCATGCACTCTTGCACACTAGTGGAGGCAGTAAAAGTTACATGTACTTGAAAAAAAAAAAGGACAATTGCCTGCCATACAATCTTGTGTACCATTCCGGCTTCTTCGTATACCTTTGTCTCAGTAAAAAAATAAGTGACAGGAAACCCCCCCAAAAATCAGAGCAATTCTAAACCTCACTGGTTGGACCTAACAGTTCTTGTGTCCCGTGGTGATGTTACAGATTTGTGGTGACAGATGGGTCCATGACAGAAGTGATCCGACCCAGTCTGTACTCAGCCTACCACCACATCCAGCTCACAGAACCCTCACAGGTGAGATGGTAACCTCACACCATAGCACACCGGGGCATGCCCCTTCTCTCCATTTAACGTCCTATTCGAGGGACGTCGCTAACTGAAACTACATGTACCAGGTACTCATTTTCAACTGTGTGAAGTGAGGAAAGTCATGTACCTTTCCCAAAGTTACAAAATCAGTCAGTGGAACGATGACAGGAACTTGGTTCTAAGGCAAACACACCAGTACGCCATGCAATGCCACGATGTTACGCTGTACTATACTATCCGACTGATGAGGATACATGTACTATATATTGGTACATTTCAGGCAGAAGACCACACAGAACAGGTGTGTGACATTGTGGGACCAGTGTGCGAGTGTGGAGACTTTCTGGGGAAAGACCGGACCATACCAACCCCCCATGAGGGGTGTGGGCTGGCAGTGTTTGATGTTGGTGCCTACTGTTCATCCATGGCATCCAACTACAACATGAGGGTGGGTACAATCTCTTGCCATAACTTTTCCTGTTCAATAAAGACAGGCTAGAAAAAGGTAAAATAGGTAAAAAAAATAGAAAGAAAAAGGTGAACGAAAGGGGTGGTGACTATGGAGTATCAAAAATATACATCGTTATTTGCAGCAGGCTTCAACTCTGGAAATCAGAGGTTGTTGTGATGTACATCTGGGGTTTCTTCATGTACATACTAGTACTAGCATTGAATCATTCTAGCAAACAAGCTAATTTGCATGATTATGACACTTGGCATGTCTGTACAGATCCGTCCAGCTGAGGTCCTGGTGGACAGGTCGACCTGGCGGGTCATCCGACGGCCGGAGACACTGGACGACATGACCAGAGGGTACACTGGTCTGACTCAGGACAGCTTCACCATTCACGACTGACCAATACCTCAATTCTCCTTTCCTTTAGTGCCTCACTTAGCCAATCATTTAACAGGGCATTATATAAACTTTTTGCACCAAAAATTAATATACATGTATCTTTGATAGAAATCTTAGTGTGATTGTAATTTACTTCCACTTTTCAACAAATTTGTGCAATTATCTCAAATTCTGACATTTACATGTATGGTAGGTAAATTCAGACATTTACATGTATGGTATGGTAGGTAAAACAGCCCGCATGATATGAGGCTGAATGTAAAAAAACATTGCTGACAGCTGTGTTGATTCAACTTAGCCTCTACCAGGCTTCGGGAGGGAACCGTAAAGAGTGGAAGAAATTGGCTAGAGATAACATTCTATGGGATTTGGTACGCAAGAGCTGTACTTTCTACCAGACCAACTCCCCTGGCATGTTATCTCTCTATTTGGCCAATTGCTACTCTTTTCAGCAGCCTCCCGAAGCCTGGTAGAGGCTAGGTTCAACTTACTTTGTAAGGAAATAACCAGAAAATCACCGAATGATGATGATGACTCATTTCTGCACAGCAATGGAAAGACACGAGACCCTCTGCACTATTTTACAAGCACTTTAATTGACACTTGTAGACCTGTATACACGTAGTAACCAGTCTAAAAGTGAACAAGACAAACCCATTGCCTTAGTGTGGGGCCTTACTGCTGTACATGTTGTAAGCACAACCTGAACTCAGTCAAATCATGGGAATCAAAGGTTCTTAGATCTACAGCTACTTTGAGATTTGTTGTACATACGTATTCACCATGACAAGCGTTCATAAAACGTTTGGACGATACAATAATGACTAATAAAAAGGGAAGAACAATGAGATAGAAGCAACTCTCTAGCTCATTTGTGACAGTTTATACATTCATTAAATAAGGAATCCAGCAACAAAACTGCACTAGTTTCAGGACACTTTTTTTTTCAACTCAACAGTATTGTTTACCCATTTCTGCTACACTGAAGTAACAAGAAATAAACTCACAACCAGTCACATCCCTTTCTACGTGTATTTTTCTTCCAGCTTCAAAATCGGTCAGTGTTGTAAAGATAGTAAGACAACTAGAAATCTGTTGTTCATGCGATAGTCCAACAATCAGTTAATGTACTAACTCCCTTTTCCCCTCCTTCCTAGCCTCTCTCAGTATATCTCTCCCACTAGTACAGAAAACAGTCAGTACATCAATCCACACTGCTCCTTAGAATTACTACCAACATCTGCCTCCAAGAACGTTTTCCCCAGTTCCTTGTGTACCTCTCCTCACACTTACATGCTGTTGCTGACGAGCGTACAAGGTAGACTGAGTAGATTTTGGATGTAACATACGAAAACATCCAAGTAACACCTTGTGACATAGACTAACCACTGAAACTTCTCTTTTTTGTTTGAACGAAAGTTGCCTTTCAACGTTTACAGCGACATAGTGGGAACACACACTGTGTTTTTTTTGGATGAATATCAAGTTAGACACACAATACCCTGAAAACATCCCGCATATACATATTTCCAAGCTGAAAGGGAAAGAGACTGTCTGTAGCCCAGACAGTAAATTGTGTTGATTAGCAACAAAGATTCATTTTCTGGGGAGAGAAAAAGAGACACAAAAGGCTGAACAGAACAATCTCTTCTCACAAGCAAGGGCAAAGGAGTTATGCGGCTGTTCAATAATCTGCAGAGCTAGACTTTATACACAAACGAAGCGGATTGCTATCATTTATAGGACTCTGTTGGACTCTACATACGCTTGCCCTTGCTCGGTAAAAAGAATGGTTTATACCTTTCGAGTTAGGAGTAACTTTCTTTTTGATTTTGAACGTTTTGTTTGGGGTGCAAGAGGGAGAGTGCCACGTCCCCTGCCAGAGTTGTGCATGAACAATTCTGCACAATCCCGGCCACTGCTCCAGTCACAAACCTGCAAATATTTTTTCTTCTTTTTTTTTAAACCTTTTTTTTTTAATATTCCCTATCCCTCTTCCTCTATGCTGATACACAACCCACGAAGCTTTCTACAGGATGAACTTGCCCAGAATAAAGCCGAGAATAAGTGCAGCGAGTAGATAAAGTACAGGCGGGATGGCACTGCGCTGGGCTACGGGTGCAAACTCTGTCGTGAACGTCTGGTTGTCTGACGGTGTGGCCTTGCGCTGGCGCAATCCGTCATCCTGAGAACAACAAAAGGGAAACAAACGTGACGTCAATAACATTAAAAAAAGGTGCCACAAGTACTTGAATGGCGTACAGCTGACATTCAATTAGTGAGAGGGTGTGACAGAGACAATTACACATATGACAATGGAAAGCTGAAAGATATGCCCAGCATACGACATACATGACAAGGTGTAACTTTGAAACACATAATGATTCCACAAAGTTGAAGGGAAAACTCCAAACCACATGCATAATACTAAGTTTAAAAAGTTCTACAATATCCATGTCATTCTAAAAACTTTGCTGAAGCTAACTTCACTTTTAAAACCAAAGTTATAGACTTTTGGGATACAAACATGTAGCAAGTATTCTAACTCCAATGTCTAACTAAAAAAATATATATCTAAGGCAAAAATGATGTATTTCCTTGGTTCTTGAATATTTTATAGTAAAAATTTAGCAGGAGGTCAAGATGAAAACAGAGGGCTGGGAGGGAAACTGTGTATCATGGCACAGATTCCCCCCAGACTCTGTTTTTATGTTGATCTTAAAGTTCAGCACTATTTGGCTAATATCAAGAACAGAAAAAAATGAGCCTAAATACTCAGTATTCCCATGCATTCTTTTACATTTCTGTACACTTATGCACATATGAATTCAGAACCCAAACCTTCCTGACACCACAGTTATTTTGTGAATACGCCAAAAGACCTTACAAAGTGGCAGCATAAGACGAGCATTTAAGGCAAGGGAAGGGGGGCAACAATCTGCAGCATAGACGTAAGGAGCTGACGGGCAAAATTAACGTACAAAGTCCAAAACAAACAAGGGCACGGGAAGGTGGCAAGGAGACAACAACGAATGATGATGATGATGAAATGACAAAGAGACTTTCCAGAGATCCAGCGGAAACTTAACGGACATTAGGGATGGGATAAACGAAAGAAAGATTGCGGAAACCGTCAGCGTAGCCGGTTGTAGACGTTCCGTGGGAAACACACCTTGATTTGTGCATTCTCGGCCTGAAGTTTGGACACCTCAGCCTGGAGCCGTCGGCACTCGTCCAACACTTTCTTCATGTCACTATCGCTCGCAGACGAACCCACATTAACCGCTTTCACTGCCACTGTGGCCTCCTGGGACAGCAAAGCACAGGGATCCACTCAAATACTGTCTTCAACTTCAGCACCAAGGTACACCAAAACTCATACTTACACCCTTCTTGACTGCAACTTTACATACACATATACATGTATTTACCTTGATAGCCACTTTAACCTGAAGAGTTGACACCATACATACGTAAGAAATATTACATGATACAAGGATGCAGACAAAATCATCAGGTGACTTGACTTAAGAGTGCATGTAGTAGTGGTAGCCCTACTTGTAGTCCATATAGAAAGGGATAATGTATAACACAACCATACATCAGTATTGCTTGACTTCCAATGATAAACTCTTTTCACTCAATGCCCAGTTGATTGTTCGAGATTAACGCCACGAGATGACAGAAACAATGTTCACCACAAATTTGTCCATAAAAGATCTCATCTTGACTCAAATAAAATCATGACTGAGATTGTGCTGAACACATTTTTCCTTGCAACAACAAATCAGTGAAACAAACTTTAAAGATCAATTGTATACGTTTTTCTGATTCATTGACATTGACACAAGTTTTCAAAGCCCGAAATACTTTGAGCACCCGACTACAATCACCGGGTCACGAACAGAAATGCTAACCATCCTCCTACAAGATTTAGAACCAAATGTCACAAAACATTACTCCACAATTCAAATTCAGATAGCCCTTGCCACCTTAGGAAAACTTAGACACAACTATAGACAAGGTGTACTAACCTGACCTGCTAAACCATTACCAGGCAACATAACACAGACCTTTTACCACCTTATTTATGAACTTTATATATAAGAAAATGGGAAAAAAAAAACTGTCTACAATTTAACCTGCCTCTCTTCTTCTTAAATGTGATTATAACGTAAACTTTTCATGATGGAAAACTCTGTACTCCCTCATGCATTCAAAACCTAAAAAATCTTATTGCTGTCACTTCCAACATCCCCCCTCCAAAAAAAGATGAACCTATTAAAATGTTAATCACCTACATTTGTAGGTCCCTGTACTAAATGTCATCTTCATATATTATCATTTAAAAAAAAATAAAAACCTACATCATCTACAGTATTTGCTGCCATAACTGCACATAGCACAACCTACACACACACAAGTTAGATGGGGTCACAATTAATTCTTTTGAAATGTAAGATGACTACAAGTAGGAACCACGGGTAGCGGTTAGTCAGCCTAACCTTTGTGTTTTTCAAGGTTGCCCAGGATACAACCAAGGACACATGCATAAAAATTTTCATCAGGATGGTACTAGTAAGTCACAGAATAAAGATACTCTTTTTTTCATAACCAGGTTTATTCAGCCGAACTTGCGTTTGGGAAAGCAAACGACACCTGTGTTGTGCAGTGAACCAGTCAGATTTGCCCTGAGGAAGGTGAAAGACACTCACTGAAACGTCGGCTGAATAAACCATGTGGTTGTGTAAGAAAGAGTCTCTTTATTCAACCATGGACACAAACCGTTCTTGATCTTTTGAACCAACACGAGGAAAAATTGCTCTGTGCATTCATTCCCAAACTTAAAGTCAGATTTCATCAGACCAACTCACTTCTGATGAGAGTGTAAAACTAACTTTGTATAAACCAAATAGATTTTTCAATTAAGTGTTCAACCAAATGTTCAAGAACTGTGTGACCTGTTTTCAAGTAAGACAGAGGAGCTTTCCTTCAAAAGATAATTCCCAATGCCCCTTACCTGTGTTACTGGCCTCTTGGCCTCCGGAGAAGGCTTGGGGATGTTGGGCTTGACAGGTGGTACTGCCGCCACCTCTTTGGCTTCCTTAGCAGCATCCAAATCATTCTGAAACAACACAGACTACTCCACTTAGAAACAAGTAACACTACCCCCTATGCCTTTCCATGAACACCTGAGACTTGCTGCAATAGGGCCTAGGCAATTTAATAATGTGTTTCTGGTTTCAGTCTAGAAAACACTAGGGTTGGTAGGTTGGGATTTTCTTTTAAAGACAAATCCAACAAATACCCCGGTAACAATGCATCGGGACAGTCAAAAGGACCTGTCCACCTTGTGGACAAATATTTAATCTGATTTACTAAAGAAAAAATGCATTAAAAGACATTTCAGACTCTAGAGAGTTTGACTTTAGATGTCATATCAACAATTTTATAGCCTTACTAGCGGTCAATCAAAAAAAGGCTAGGGACTAGGGAACGTTTTTTTCGGTAGGGTTGGTCGGGAAACCAGAAACACACCTTTTTTCCTAGGCCTAACCAAATGTACCATGAGTAGTTTCACAGCATAACAACATTCAAAATGAGGTTTTCCATGATTAGTTTCTGTTTTACTTGTTAGCAAAAACTCTGCACCACTCCTTCCTGCAGAACAGGGCAGTTAAAAGGTAACAAACACTGGTTAATAGTTGTATGTCTCTGTCCTTCCAAGCATTTTTACATTTCTACAAAGACATCAGACATATATGATGTTACATCTTAAAGGAAGATCTGCACAATTGACACATTCTGAACAAATCTGCATGCTTTAACGGAAAAAACAGCAACTGTACATGAAATTTAGAAACAGTCACTAGTTAAGGAAGTATAAAACAAATTCCATGCCCACATGTAAACAAACTGTCCACAACTGAGATTCTTCCAAAGTTCAGATTATCTGTGAAACAAGGTTACATCTGGCATGCTTGACAGACACACAAAACGACAGGTTGTTAGTAACATGTACAAGACAGGTGATGAAACATGCAGGGTGTGAAAATAAAATAATTTCTATTTCCCACCCTGCATGTAATTTTAACCTTTAGCATGCTTTCATTTTATGTGTATATCAGCTTCCAACTAATTTACTTTTGGCAGCAAATTCGAGAACTTCTGGTGACGATGCCAATATGATTTAATTTAAAGTCTACCATTTTTTTTTTGGCAAGATTCTAAACGTTCTTACGTCACATAGTGGTAAGATAAAGCACTGCATGCTAAAGATAAAATTATAACACACAGCATTCACAAAACACACAACATTCCAAACATGATGAAAGCATGTTGAGATTTTTCTTTATCAGTAGCACACAAAAGTGTTGCATTTGTCAAAGAGCGGGGTTTGATTCTTGGAAGTCTTTTTAAAAAAAAAAAACAATCTTTCAGCTGCTATTTATGTTCAACATACTTTAGTTCTAACTAACTCCCTAGTAGTACAGATACATGCATGCATTTCCCCTACAATTTTACAGTCTAATATGAAGATTAATAATCATGCTGGCTTGTATATTACAAGTGCCTCAAGAACAGTTTCCATTTCCTTTTTTGAAAACACTTTAAACAGATGACAGAAACAGCTGACTTGAAACAAGATTGTTGCATGTCAACAGCAATTCACATTGACAACAAGAGAACTGTTTACTGCGTTGCTATTCTTTACAAATGAAAAGAAACAGGCTGAGGACTCTTGGAAGACAAATGCAACACTTTTGACTTTCTCAACAAACATGAAAAGGACTTCTGGTAGTTACAGAGTCAGTCCAAACCATTCGGGTTGCTCAAGGATGCCACCTGGACAGAAATATTTACTTTAATTGGTCTCACGGGCACTCTTTTAATGATTGACGGCGCGGACACAGATTTGCGAGGCGGTGGGGTGCTGCTTTCCAACTTGAATACATTGGTCTTCCCCTTAGCCAGAGCCTAAGAAAAAAAAGGCAACACACACACACATAGACCAGAAGAAACTTAGTTACTGCTGTGTTGCAGTTGAAAGAAAAATGAAGCAAAAATAAAAATGAAATATAAACGATAAGCAAAATTAAACTTGGTAATGTAAGAAAGAGTGGACAAAACAAACAAAGGACAACTTTCTTTCTCAAAGAGCACACCTTCACAGAAGACTCATTCACACACTCATAACACACCACTCAACTTCACATTACTTTGTGCAAACTTCAGACATTTGGTCCATGTCATCTTTCAAAAACAACATTTTAGGAAATATCTTGAGATACTACTTTGTTTCAAGATCTTTTATTATCCAAATTTTTTTATAAGTCAAATCATACATCTGTTTCAAAATGCACTTTTAAAAAGTGCCTTAATTTTTGATGACAGTTTGCACAGTTACAAACAATAAAGACAAAGCAGTATGTTATATGAGGGCAGACATAATATCATATGGAGATTTGGGAGAATCTCAGCTAGTGGACTTGTTGCCATGGAGACAGGTTGCCATGGAGATATCCCAGCTGAAACAAATTCTGGACAATAAGGTACAACCCACAAACACACATGTCAATTTCAACATATTTCTGGTGTCCTCTTTTTTTCTGTTCAATTTGAAAAAAAATTACAACTCGATAAATTTGTCCCATACATTTCAGTTCCTAAAAGAGTCCATTGTCATTGTACCAAAAAAGAGTTGCAGATCTGAAATTGCCTGTGTTATTGTTATATATACATAGACATACAGTCAGACTTGCCCAAGTGACCACCTCTATAAGCTGGTCATCTGGCAATAACAACATAATTTTTGCTGTGATTTTCTTTTCTCTTGTTTGCCATGCTTTTTATGTACGAAGACCACTTTTCCTTGGTACCATGGGTGGTCATCTTAGACAAGTTTGACTGTACTAGAGTAGTCAATTGGTGGGTAATTAATTATATGAAGGATTTCATGGTTGATTGTTGTACTGACCTGTAGGGCCTCTGGAGGAAGCTCAAACACACACTTCAGCTTAGAGTCCATCAGCTGGGTCTGGTCTGCATCTTTCCACTGCAACAACCAATCACACAACAGCATGTCCATCACATGATTTACAACAGCCTATCAGGGAAGAGCTGATCAACCAGATAGTTGCTTTTCATATGACAATGCCCTAAACACTTTAGAGCGTGTCACTCAATGTTGAACACAAACTAGGCACTACAAGGGAAAAGGGTACTAGTATTAAGTAAGCTTTAAACCACAGCAGCCTTGTATCTTTTAAACAAATAAACCAGTAATTATCAAAAGTTTCCCTGTGTCTTGAAGAATATGTTACTATGGTGTGATGACAGGCAACCACAAAAAGTGCAGTAAAGATCAAGTATTCATGTTTTAATAGAAGGTATTGAAAAGCTTCCAGGCTAAGGTGTTTAGCCTGGCATGTGTCCACTAACGTGTCCATGGATTACTCTCCTGTGTAACAGATCAGTCCAACAGCATGCCTGATTAAGCACCCTGGGTGTGGCCTTGCCATATATGGCATCAGCTGGGCTGACCCCCGTGACCCAGCCCTGCCACGTGAACTTGCCCATTTCTGGCATGCTCTTCGCTTCTCGTTCCAACATTCCGCAGTCCCCGCGCTACGTCATTCTGGCCGGGGCAGCCACGTAATGCTCCTAACATTGAAGTCTGGCCAACTTTGTACCACAGAACTTTGACCTAGGTCAGCTTACCACCCGACTTCTGATAACAATGCCCTTAATGCTACAAGGATTTTATAAGAAGTGGCTGATTGCCATAACCAGCAGAGGTTGTACGTTCTGCCCCCCCCCCATACCCCACCACCACCATAGGATTATGAAATCAGAAAGTCAAAGTTCAAGAGATGAGTTCAAGCGGACAGTTTTCTGACAGTTCAACCTCCATGACACATCAAACATTAGGAATGGCTTTTCTACAGCTAGATTTAGAATAGAATATAAATGTGAATGTTCTGTCTGCATGTACTATTTTGTGTAACAATTTCCAAATTAACAATGCTGTTAATGATAGGTAAGCAAGGAACTTATACATTATGTGCTTTATTTTCCTAAGCTACATTTCTACTTTTACCAGTGCCTGTCCTACAAATACTTGCCACAGTACAACCAACCACAACCATCTGGAGTATTGCATTCATGAGATTTTCCAATATTTCATGCAACATCCTTTGATTGAAACCACTTATATTTTTGCTTCTGGCGGCTTGACAGTACAGATATAGAACTTTGTGCAATCTTATACGATACTGCTACAAGTCATTGACTCCTAGGTTCTTGTTTTGGCACTATTACAACTCTTTCACCTTCAATGGACTTTCCACAACTGATGGCGAGTGCCACTTATATCAGGATGTGCAATGTTACACTTGGCAGCCTGCTATTGCTATACAAGGCAATCACTTGATTGGGTACAGGTTTTATATGACACTTGGAGAAGGGATTTCAACTTCAACTTTGCCTTGCTGGATTGTGCTGGACCATACATTGAGATTATCTTGAAATTTTGCTACCTAAAAGTAAACCATTGCAAGTCTATCAAGAGAAGTTGTAATATGCCCAGTGAACAGGCCTTGCTTATTTTGCATTGCTTATAAATACAGTACTGTAAATGCAAAAAGCAGGTAAAATTTGCTGTCCTTTTATGGGACATTTACTATATAAGCATTAACCTTCTGCTAACACTATAGGATTGTACAGCTGTGCTAATCTCTAAGCAGATGTTGGGAGGAATGATTGTGATCATTGCACCTTTCAGGGGTATTACTATTAGTTCTGGAAAATGGTCAAAAAAAATATCATGATCTTTCCTCCCAACATCAAGGCTGTCTCAAATAGTAACATGACTTTCCTCACCATTTTGTCACTTACCATATTGACCATCGTCTCGTTGTCGATGCCCCCCTCGGGCGCAAACATGGACTGGACCATGAACTTGTGCTTGTTCTTCTCCTGGGGGTCGTAGTCAAACGGCTGGAGCATCACTGGAGAAAACAAAAACAAAACAACAAATCACTTAGACATACATGTAATATGGGAACTCACAGTTACTTGACAGCTTTTGTAGTTCCATAATGGAGAAACTAGTCAAAGATATTCAGGCCTGGGGAAAAAATTTCCTTAGCAGTGACTCCTTGCAGAGAAGGAAGTATTGCAGTTAGCTTAGTATTTTATCATGATGCTGATTACATCTAAACAAAAGGAATAATAAACTAACAGAATAAAGAATAAATGATACTCATTATTGCTTTCTGTGATACCGACCTGCTCTTAAATCAAAAACAGGTCTTCTATCGAAAATTCGAAATCGATACACGAACGAATTTCCTAGCACGAAGTCAATTTTGTTTATCGAAGTTGACCCGTCACCAATCATTGGAAAGTAATCCTGCTAGATCTAGCATGAGCCTACAAGAATATCAATAAAAGATATTGTACTTCTACACTCCCGCAGGCAAAGGCATCGACTGGTCTGTTATTGAGCAGGCTTTGTTTGACATTACCGCCTAGAGGCGAGTGATGAGGCAGGCATAGATTTTTAATTACTAGGCGGGTAAAACATAATCCATGTAATTCAGGCTGTGTTGTATCTTGTGCAATGGGAGGCTGGGCAGATATTTAACAGTACTGGTGGTAAAGTGTGTAATAAACAGGTTTGAAGAGGTTGATTTATACTTATAGGGTATCTGTTATGCAACTTCTGTCATTGAAATACTGGGTGCATATGCATCTTAGTGCAGGTAAAATTGGGGCTGTGCAGGTATTTCTGCATGAGATTTAGACAGTAATGCTTCTAACAACATAAACATGCAAATTTGACACATTGAAAAAGCTTGTCCTTGTCGTTTTTTGCTGTCCAGACGTGGTCCTTACATTGGTGTGGCCTCTGAATATGCATTAGGACCAGGAGAAGATAGATTCACTCATACACAGACTGGCCATTCCAACTAGCCAGGCTTCAATTACGAGGTGTTCAAACACTTTGCGACCCTACTGGAGCGAGAGGACTTTCTATTGATTGTCTCAGTGATGGATATTGGACTCAACCAATGTTTACATCCACAGCATTTGTGCAGCCAGACCATTTCTACTGGATAAAACTGTGCACGACGACTTTTATTTTTACATCCTATTTTATTGCACCTTGATCAAAAACGATGACAGGGTGTCAAATTTCATCCATCTATTGGTCATACATGATGTATAGATCTTAGCTGACTGTAAATGATTTTCTTTTAAAAGTTTTAGAATTACATCTTGTTTAGTATAGTGATGATCAATTTTTATTGTTCAAGTTGAAAAAAAGTTGTACCTGTCATATGTGTCACCTTTGATGACCTACTTACCATGCTAGACATTAATGTGCTTTTACATGTAATTACCATTAGGACAAAAATATTGAATTTCAAGTGATTACTAAAATTGTAAGAGGAGAATTCTTAAGTTATAAATACATTTTGAATTGGATAGTTCAGATATAATCATACAGGTGTTTTTGTAAATTCAACAGTCATTTGTCATTGAGTATAGGAGTATCTATAAGTGGTCAAATTTATTAATACATGACTGGTAGTCATAAATCAAAATGGGACAATTTTTTCTGAAAAATTATGAATTCAGAAGCTATCAATAGAGAGAAACCACATACAACAACAGCATTTTTGTGGTTTAACATGTGATGATCACTGGTAATAAGTTTCTTCCTGGAGCAAAATTCTTCTTTGACAGAAAGAGGTCAGACAACAATTTCCCCATCACCCTTACTGAACTCCTTTAATGGGGCACACGGTGATTAGAGGTGTTGAGGTGCTCTCAATCCTGGATGGAATTCGGACAAGTCAATATCATTTGGGAGAAAGTTGGTCAAGATGCAGAGGACTATGTGACTGTGAGGGTGTGTGGCATTGCTGAGTTGGGTCAACGTTCTTTAGTTGGGTTGACGCAATTTTTGTGCCAATTAAATGTGGTATGGTACCATAGCATTAGCGGATGTTGAATGGTGTGCATATTGCAATTCACAATTTTTTCTGTGGTATTTTTATGTCCACAGTTTTCGCGGTCACTTCTGTACCACAAACTTATTATTACCATAAAGAAATAATTCGCCGTTATATAGTTCTGTGAACATATCCATTATTCTCAGACTGCAAACTTTTTTGCTACCATGAACATGACCTGATTGACAGTATATATGGTACTTGGTGTTTTTGACACTTGGACAGTATTTATGACCGATGCATTTCTTTCTTCAAACTTGCTAATTTAAAAGATTGTTTTCTAACAATGTTACCTTTCTTTCAAAGGGCAACCTGCAAACCTTGATAAAATGTACAACTACTACTAGCTGTTTTTTCAATATCTTCCCCCATCCTTAAATCTTCACATTTTGATTGATTAATGATGACTTGTTAAGTGGTTTTCCTTGTAGTTAGCAATGAAAAGCCGACCTGACAGGAACATTTCCAGGTATTGGCAATCAAAGTGCTGGAGCTTGTTACGATGAAAGCAAACTATGTGTGTTACCCCAAATCTAACAGCGGCCAGCATTCCTAGCTTGTAGCTGTTGACATAGACATCAGAAACCATCGTTAAATATGACATCTCAGAACTAGAGGGTACCCAGTGACACTGCAACTTCTCACCATGATCCAAATACAAAATATTTTTTAAAGGTATTTCAATCAAACCATTAAAAGACTTTGGTTTGCATATCGCCACACACTTTTATGTCGTAAACTGTTTCCTTGGCACATAAACGAGAGCATCACTTCTAGCCTGGGCTAAATTCTTGGACAGTGTCCTGCATTCCACCCATAGCAGCCGTGAATAGCCCTGGGGCACACTGTTAGGCCTGGGCATCTGTCACTTGTGTGTAGCCCCCTGCTTCTGTTCTTAACCGTGATGTAATGTTTGGGTAAATCCCAGTTGACAGGACACAGGAAAAAAAAACTCAAGTCAAAAATCTCAAGTCTGCTCTCGAAATTCTCTTTCTGCCCGACCTACAATGAAATCAGTGATTGTATTTGTTTGGGGTATCTCTCAAGGATGGATTAAAATACCCACCTGCAAGCTGCACTATACAGGCCAAAGAAAATTGGTTGTATGTACAGTACAGATGCTTTCTTAGGAAAATAGATGGAGTAGACAATTTTCTTGGAAACGTTCTCAAAATAAGATCTGATCACGATCGTCTCAGATACTGTCAATCAGGCCTGATGCTGAAATTACTTTTGCCCTTTGGTTTCTTAATGAATCCAAGCAAGTCAACTACAACTATCTTTTAATCTTACTCATTAACAATGATTAATCCGAATTTGAAAATTATTTGCGTGACTTACATGCTATGGGAAAGCATTTAGAAGCTCACCTCTAACTATAGCCACTACTAGTATTTTCCATAATCATAGCAAAAAATGATCCCCCTAATGAAACATGTACAAGTCCATGCTATCTTGGATACACACATTATGTGTTTCAAAAAGACACCAAGAAGGTATAACATCATACCTCCTTGGTGAAATTTAAAACCCCAGATATGATCAGTTTCCTTACCTGATACATTTATGGAAGATGAAGGCTCGACTACCCCACTGTTGGGCCGGACGCAGTATCTCCGCGGAGCTGTGGTCTTGACTTTGAAACATACCCGCTTGTCTGTTGGGTTGTTCAACTTCAAATTTGATGTTACTACTTCAGTGAAAGGTCCTGAAATGGGAAGAAAAAGTTCATGAAAATTATAAACCTTCAAAACTGACTTGTCATTTGACTGTTTGAACTTTAATTCCTAAAAGTTGTCCAAATGCCTTCAAATTCAAGTTTCAGCTGATGCCTCACAGTCTAATTTAAACTTTTGTTACAATTCTGTTTCTGTATAGCCAGTATAACAGCCCCTCGGCGCAACACACCAGCTTCTACCTATGAAAGTGTTACCTTAACCAGAAGATTTCGGATATGCAAAAATGATGTTTCAACAAATGTTATTCCCCCATGAGCACACATCTAACAAAATTGAAGTGGTCCCAAGTACACACTGGAGATAATTTCTTCAATTCCCATACTTAAGTTACAACACCAGAATTAATTGTTTTCTGCACCATCTGGTTCCTTCTGGCAAACCCAGCATATTACTACACCTCTGAGGGACAAGATTTATGTCACAATAGTAATTCACAGCAGTAACTCTTGGCTGTGTAACAATCCATTTCTCGATACGGTTGGGCCACTCCTTTTTTTTTTGTATGAATAAAAAAATCAACACAACATGACAAATTGTCCTATTATATACATGTATTTGAACGGGTCAAGTGAAGGGTACATATATTTGTACAAAGACACATTGTTTGGACCAATGTATGTCAGCCACCTCATTATAGAAAACCTGTTGTAGAAGGGCACAACTACAAATTACAGGGTAGCTGACATTTTTGGGTACCCAATTGCAAGCTCAAAGTAGCTTGTAACATAAACCAGATAGCCCAGTGATCAACTTGGACAAAACCGACTTAGTTATAAAGTTATTCTACAAATTACAAAGCAACAATGACAAAGTAGATTATTGCTAGGGATTGAGGGAGGTGCTTGAATATGTGAACAAACAATTGGTAAGTTAGAATGACACTGAGTAACCTACACATAATGGCCCTGGGCAAAATGTCAAAAAACCTTGTCTGCTGAACTACATCATGTATAAACATCACCATGTTTGTTGCAGCGCAACTACAAAAAAGGCAAGGGGTTTTCTGACTCAACTGTTTTTGCAACCAGCAGCACGTAGACTGGATCAATGTGTGTTATTATTACACTTGTATACATTACCGGTTCCAAAATATTACAAAAATCAGTTCTAAATTCAGTTGTTTAGTTAATACTGTTACTAGATAATCATGCCTCCTCACTTTCCTTATTCCCTGTCATAACAAAACAATGTAATTCTGTCTCCTAAATAAATAGTAATGTGCTCTGACCATATGCACGTCCCATAAAAATAATTTCAGGGCATGTAGTTCCCATCAGTCATATGTGAACGGCTAACTGATTACATCAAACCCTCATTAGCATGTAGCAGGCAGGCAGCTTCTCTCGTCAATATCACTCACCCTCATTACTTATTTAGTGAGCAGAACGTACACCCGCGTCATGCCATAGGCCGTCTAGTCTTTTTGTTGCTAAACGAATCATACTATTCATAGTACTCGTAAAGGTAAAAATCATATTGGGACAGATGTTATCGTCCTGTGTTTAGGTCCTTTGGGACACGTATCTGATATTGTAGGACAAAATAACACAGGGAAGCTGTATGGTAAGAGAAAGGGGGGAGGGGCGCAATGACCATTCCTGACAATAGGAATATTCATGTACAAGATAAAAATTTTGGGTAGGCTTGGTTCCAATGCTGATTTGATTTCCATGGAAATTTAATGGCTTCCCGTTGAGGCAGCAACAGGAATATCAATTGTGACAATAGGGGCGCTCAATGTTAAGTACCTCAAATCCTTCTTTAACTGTAGTACGCTTTTGGTACATGAAGTATAGGTTCAACCGTTGTCTCCACACTTCTTACTGGTCTATTCATAAATTTGGCAAATCTCCACCAGCAAAAGACCTCAGTAAACAACATCATGTGATTCCTCTTATGGCATTATCAGTATCAATATTGCATTAGCCAGTTCAAACCTTTAACAGAGCCAGCCAAACCAACCAGAGATATATTATCAGGCATGATCCTTATCTAAATCCTGGCCTTTTAGTAGTCTTACACGTTCCTAAACCTTTGCCAGGCTACTGACAGTGGTGGTTAAATTTTTGGGCAGTAAAATGCGTACGTGTAGACGTGTCTGTCCTGGAATTAGCGACCGTGCTATATCTTGTCTAAAGGTTAGTCCAGCACACTGACCTAGATGACCTTTGGCCTTAACAAGCTATGTTGTGGTGTACGATTTCGTCTTTAACACACTTAGGGAATCAAAAGTGGTAGAAGACTGACATTACATAATGTAATTATTGGCACAAGTAGGTCTTCTTTCAAACTGGAAATCTCTCATTTTATCTCAAAGAGTCATATGGGGGTTATAATCAACAAAATTTAGGACTAAATCAAGAATTACAAAATTGAAAATTAAGCTGGGAAATTTTCACATGGAAAGCTTCTTGAAGAAGCTTCCTTTTGTGATGTCTTAATTTCTTAAACAAAAGTGCTATTGTTTAGTAATTGGTTCAACTGAACTGTGATAGATACCGTCAGTAATAC